ATACTTGAACATGGTTTACCTGTAAGGTAAATATAAAACATACAACTGAGGATGACTATTGTGCATCGTATTGCTAATTACAAGCCTAGAAAATCTAAAATTCAGACGGATTTTCTTCAAATTTTTTTTCATTTTTCGCATATCATTGGACCCGACAATGTCGATATCGTCGTCGATCGAGAGCTCCGACATGTCGACATTAAAATCCAATTCGATGCCAGCTCTAGTTAATTGATTTGTTCTTCATGGAATGGCTCATTTTTATCATTGTAATCATTGTAATTGTCATGAGTTTTTTTTTTTTTTTTTTTTTTTTATAAAATCAAACTTTATTAAGAAACATATTTTACATTACATGCATACAATAAGATAACATACAATTATAGAAATTTCAAGTTACATTACATCTTTCTGATCATTATTTCATTATCAAGAATAGCTTTTACATTACTAGCTGTATTGACCCTTTTTTTTAAAATCATGTATAGCTTTTTTAATTACCAATGTTTTAAGTAAATCTTCTTTTTTAACAATTGCATTTCCAATTCTTTGATCATTTGTAACATTCACATCATCCCAAATTGATTTAATACAGTCACAATTGATAAAGAAGTGGTCAATGTCATCTTTTACATGTGCGTTACAAAAGTTACAGATGTCAGAGTTTTCAATGTTACATTTCTTCAAATAAATATTTTGAGGGTAAATACCATGTAAAATTTTCCATTGAATTACCAAAAGGGTAGTATCGGTTGTACATTCAAAAAATTGAGACCAGACTTTATCGTTTAGAATATCACCATTAAATTTTATGTCACACTTTCTCTCTAAAACAATTTTTGTTCTCACAATTCTTGTGTTTAAAAGATGGCTCTCAATGCCTTTAAAAAATAATTTTGTACAAGGTGTTTCCATTTCATATTTGATAAGGAGATCTTGTGTTAAACATGCTTTAAGTGCATTATATTGAAGAATTGTTTGGCCATTTCTCCCTATTTTCTGGACAATGTTATCATATGCTAACATTTCCCTATCCTGGACAACATCTGAAATATATGTAATACCCTTTTCAATCCAGTTTTCAAAAAATAATGGAGAATTATTGAGAGTTACACTTTCATTGTTCCAAATAATGCTCTCATTTTTAAAATCATTGTGTTTTAACCATACATGTAATACATTTTTATAAAAATTACTCAAGTTATGCAAACCTTTAATTCTATCAAAATCTATGTTTGAATTAAAAATACTGAGTCCATTACCCATTTTTCCATACATGTACATGGGTAAGCCTCTCCAGTGACCATTGCCTCTTTCTTGCAACTTTTTAACCCATTGTGTTGTATAAGCTATTTGTAAATCTTTAGCATTTATCATTTTTAACCCTCCATATTTATATTCTTGTACCATTACATCCCTTTTCACTTTGTCAGGAATCTTTTTCAATTCATCCTCTTTAAATCTGCCTTTTGCCCAAATAAATTTAAACATCATTGTATTAATTCTATTCAAAAGTTTGTCAGGTAGAATGAAGGCTTGCATGAGATAGGAAAATTGTGATAAAAGTAAAGATTTCACTATAACAACCTTTCCCATAATTGTTAAGTACCTTCCAGACCACGATTTCATAATGTTTTCACATTTTACAAATTTTGACTCAAAATTCAAGTCATTATCAATAACATGAGTTGAGGTACTAAACGTTACACCTAACAGCTTTATACAGTTATGAGGCATTATTTTCCATTGCACATCTCCATGTTTTTCTCTCCTATTTTTCCATTTTCCTAACCACATTGCCTCTGTTTTCTTTGTGTTGATTTTAAGGCTTGATAAACCATAAAATGTGTTAAAAATTTCAAGTACATTATTAAAAGACTTAATGTCATGCACAAAAACAGTTGTGTCATCTGCATATTGTAAAACTTTGGTTTCATCATGATTTCCAGGGGCTTTGATACCTTTAACCTCACTGGATTGTCTTAGTTTACAAGATAAAAGCTCACATGCTATTAGGTAAATCATCGGAGATAAGGGGCAGCCCTGCCGAATGCCACGCCCTAATTTGATGTCACCTATAAGCCAGCCATTGTTAAAAATATGATTATGTCCATTTGTATTAATGACCTCAATCCATTTTATAAATTGGGGACCAAATCCAAAATATTCTAAAGAGTATAACATGAACTCCTTTGAGATTGAATCAAAACATTTTTCGTAATCAATTGCAAGCATAATGCCCTGTAGGTTATTTGAATCTATATATACCATTAAATCATCAATACCTCTTAAAATAGTAGCTGCACTACGTTTCTTTATAAATCCTGACTGGTCTTCATGTACTATTTCAGAAATGACCAATCTCAATCTGTTAGCTAACACTTTGGCCAGTATTTTGTAATCTACATTTGTTAATGTTAAAGGGCGCCAGTTTTTAAGGTCATCCCTAGGTAAATCTTTTTTTGGAATTAAAACCATCAATCCAGTTTTTTGAGAACATGATAATTCACCTTTTAGAAAACCCTCATTCAGTGAATCTACGACTAAATTGCCAATCTTATTAAAAAATACCTTATAGAAAGCAGCTGTAATACCATCCAGTCCAGGGCTGGCTTCATTTTTCATATTTTTCAATGCTGCTGTACATTCCTGGTGTGTTACAAGACCTTCACAAGTTAATCTATTTTCATCATTAAGTTTCGGAATATTTACATCATGTAAAAAATCATCAAGATTTGCTTTCCTAAATACAATTTTCTTTTCATATAATGCATTATAAAACCTGTTTATTTCTTCTACAATCTGGTTCTGGCTACTTACATTTTGACCATTAATTTTCAATGAGTTTATGTTCTTTTTATTTCCCCTAGCTTTCTCTAATTGCAAGAAGTATTTGGTACTTTTTTCCCCTTGTTCATACCACTGTACCTTGGACCTTATCTGAGCCCCTTTAGCTTCAACTGTTGACAAAATTTCAAATAACAATTTGCATTCATTAACTCTCTGATTCAAAATATTATCATTAGGATTTTTACTTAAAACCTTACATGCTTGATCTAACTTCTGTTTCGCAGTTTTGATTTTACACTTATTTACATGGGCTAGATGTTTACTATAACCAATAGAGAAATCTTTAATCTGTGTTTTACAATAATCCCAGAGTATTTGTTTATCTAGATTGTTAACATTAATTAATACCCTGTCAACAATTTGGTTTATTTCATTTACATAAGTTTGGTCAGTGAGTAAGCTATTGTTTAACTTCCAGTAGGAAGGACCCTTCTCATTTATATCCCATGTTACAGTAGTAGTAACACCTCTATGGTCAGATGTGGGCATATCTGTAATATTGGAGCACATAATTTTATCAAATACACAATCATTAGAAAAAATATAATCAATACGCCTCATAATGCTTTTACTTTTATGCTTCCAAGTGTAGCTTTTTTCATTAATGTTATACAATCGCCATACATCATTCAAATCATTATTCTCAACAAATTGTTTAAAAGCGTAAATATCATTTTTGTTGTGACTTTCTCCAGCTAAGTTATCATTTTTCTCATTCAACACACAGTTAAAATCACCACAAATTATTAAATTCATATCATCTTTATTAACATTTTTAACGACATTCTGAAGTTCTTGATAGAATATAACCTTATCCTTTGATTTGTTTGGTGCATAAATGCAACCAACCACGAACACCTCATTCTCATACGTGAATTCCACAAATAAAAGTCTGTCTTGTTTTACAATAACCTGTATATCTTCAATTCCACAATGTTTATCTATTAATATTATTTCTCCCTTACTGTGCTTGGTTCCGGGGTTTGCAAATATTTTGCCTCCCCATTCTTTTGCCCATGTATCTATATCATTTTGTGTTATATATGATTCCTGCAAGCAGGCAATGTCCATTTTAGCATTTTTAAGATATCTAAAAAATGCATGTCGCGTCATCCTATTCCGAAGTCCTTGTACATTTCCTTGGTATATGTTAAGCATAGAGTGTTTATATTATCTATTGGTATATCATGCTTAGTCCTTGTCATCTGGCGCTGCATTTATGATCTCACTCTGTATAATTGCTGAGTTGTTCACTGGTGAAATAGAACCTACTTTGTGTTTCTTATCTTCATTTGGGTCAATAGGGGGGCTTGCTGCTGACCTCTTCAGGTTAAAGTTAGGCAGAGAACCTGACTTCTTAAGAGGATTCATAACTTGTCTTTTTCTTGCTTTTACTGCAGCGGTACCTGGTTTTGTGAATTGTGGTTTCACGTTGTTAGGTGCTGCTGCTGATACTGCCTGAGTCCCGGATGTAGAGGGTTCTGGTTTACTCATATTATTAGCCGCATCCTTTGGGGCTGGATCAGTGGGTTGTTGTGGGCCTAACTCAGTCGCAACCTGTGCAGATTCAGGGCAGTCAATTTGGCGATGCCCTACGATGCCACATTTCCAACAGGTGGTGTCGCGCTTCTTACTCCTTGGACACTCAGATTTCCTGTGGCCCTGGATGCCACATCCGAAGCAGGTTATAACAGATCGAGAGGGACACTGCTGTGTATCATGGTCCTTACGACATATACGACAGTTGATCGGTTGATTATCATGGTATATCACAATGTTTACATCAATCAGCGACCCATCTAATGGGTCAGCCATAGAGTAGGTTGTGTATCGATTCTGTGGTGAAGTAATGTTCTTGGCGTAACAAAATCTATGTCCTGTTAACAACCCATTTGTTTGGTCTTTCGGGCCTCTTGAACGTTTGTGCCATTGCACTTCAGATGCCCGTTCAGCAAATGTATTTACCCATGCTTCAATCTCCTGGTTTGACACATGAAGGGGGATACCATGAATCGAAATGCGTGTGTGTTTTCTGTGTTTGTATTCGAGAGATTCCTTTTCCATTTTGTCATGAGTTAATTGATTTGTTCTTCATGGAATGGCTCATTTTTATCATTGTAATCATTGTAATTGTCATCAGTTGATTTGATTTGTTCTTCATGGAATGGTTCATTTTTATCATTGTAATCATTGTAATTGTCATGAGTTAATTGATTTGTTCTTCATGGAATGGCTCATTTTTATCATTGTAATCATTGTAATTGTCATCAGTTGATTTGATTTGTTCTTCATGGAATGGCTCATTTTTATCATTGTAATCATTGTAATTGTCATCAGTTGATTTGATTTGTTCTTCATGGGATGGCTCATTTGTTTTATCATTGTAATCATTGTAATTGTCATCAGTTGATTTGATTTGTTCTTCATGGAATGGCTCATTTTTATCATTGTAATCATTGTAATTGTCATCAGTTGATTTGATTTGTTCTTCATGGAATGGCTCATTTTTATCATTGTAATCATTGTAATTGTCATCAGTTGATTTGATTTGTTCTTCATGGAATGGCTCATTTTTATCATTGTAATCATTGTAATTGTCATCAGTTGATTTGATTTGTTCTTCATGGGATGGCTCATTTGTTTTATCATTGCAATTGTCATGAGTTGATTTGATTTGTTCTTCATGGAATGGCTCATTTTTATCATTGTAATCATTGTAATTGTCATCAGTTGATTTGATTTGTTCTTCATGGAATGGCTCATTTTTATCATTGTAATCATTGTAATTGTCATCAGTTGATTTGATTTGTTCTTCATGGGATGGCTCATTTGTTTTATCATTGTAATTGTCATGAGTTGATGATTTGATTTGTCCTTCATGGATTTGCTCATTTGTTTTACTTTTGTGTATACTAAAAATGTTTCAACATGTCTAAAAATGTTTCTAAACAAAGCAAAGTGAAAGATGTAGTTGTAGATAAATTGATTCCATTGTAATTAATTAAAAGATCATTTGTGGCCAGTTTACATTGGAGTTGAAGAAGTGCTCTTGCAAGGTTATATTGAACTAACTAGGTCTTGGAATTAATCCCTGGATTATTTACTCTACCAACAGTTTTATGCCAAAAGGTGTTTTTTTAGATAGCATGGCATTAATAAAAATGTAATTTTTTCATTACCTATAACATTAAATCATTTAATATGTAGGAAGTACAAGTTATCCATTGTATATACGTTTTTGAACATTTATATTTTAACTATTAAAATTAAGTTCCCAATATTCTCAGATAAAATTTTTATTTTAGCCCCAATAATGTTAAATTCAATGTTTCAGTCTACAGGTTACTTCAGGTGCTAGGGTGCTGAAGTAAATTAGATAAAAAAGTTTTTTGTGGGCACTTCTCATTATTCTTTTCAACATGAAATGCTAAACATACAATATATACAAGTATAAACAAAGGAAAATATACTAATTATGATCTGTTACCTATTACTTGAGTTCAATATTTGGCCAATCTCATTCTAGCCCCAAATATACAGAAAACAAGGCTTTGCATAAAAAGCCTCGTACCCATGTACATGGGTCATGATACAGTCTTTGAAGTATTCAATTCTAGTTTTCGCTAACTTAGACATGATGTACTCATAGTATTTATTTATAGATGTGATACATATATTTGTCTAATCAAAGATAGCATTAAAGACAGATAGATGATGATTCCCCAGATGATTCACTATCTGGTTCAAAATTGAATGATGGGGGAGTAGTACATAAAGACAAGGTTGTAATGCCATCTCAATGTGGCAATATAGTGACTTTCTTGAAAATAAGAATAAAAAATACTTTAGTGTAGATTGCTTCTATGGTGATCGAGCATTTCAATTTCGCAATTCTGATGAAGGATAAACTTTCATTTATAAGACATGTCCATGATGATGCCCAGAGGGCTAGTGGAATATCATCTTGTGAAACTGTCACAGGTATTCACCGAAAATAGAATATTTGTTTTATTATATCACTGTCATAATGTCTTCTATAATATTAAATTATACTAAGTGTATAATACAAATGGCATTGGACTAATTCAATCCTGGGGATGTATAAAATAAAAATTACACTGGACTAAGTTGTGACTGGTAGATATCATTTATTGATTATTGCTAGTTATTTTTAGTCAAGTGCAGGACAAAGACCAATCAGAGAGTGAGGAATATGACAGTGATATAATATTAGTTATTCAGAATTTTGCTGATTAAGAAACTTTTTAGTCTTGATTTTAAAATACTCAGAGAAGGGCTATTTCTGATAATTATTAATTTTCAGTAGATTATTCCAAATACAATTATCTGTCCTTGAATTTTGATGACTTTGATCATTTCGATAATAATAGTCACTGAAAGCTGAGGATAACTTGTCAAGTTATTGTACCAATTATATACAAATTGGCAAATGTTGTATTCACAATTTGCTCACAATTTAAATTGTTTGAATAAAGAAGATGAATGCTATTTTTCACTTTTTCAAAGATAATAATCTTAAAAATGTTTTTTTGAAGTTTTCAACAGTTGTCGATCCAGAGCAGTGGTATAGTTGCTACCCCAAACTACAATACAGTAAAGATTTTTACACTAACACAATCATTTGTCTACTATAAGAATTCTTATTATTTGGGAGAATTTAAATATTTTACCCCTTTTTTGCACTTTGAATCTTAAATAACTTTTGATTGACACCAATTGATAACATATCACAGATCTTTCGGCAGATTTTACATTTGAGCTTCTAAGGAATACATTGGTACATCAATTGTACATATTGTCTGCAATTTTGTCACTCCCTATAGATCTGATTCTACCTTTAAGATATTGTAAATGTCATCTTTTTTACATGGTTTCAATATCCATCGTGTCTATCTCTTGACCCAGTGGAAAGCAATGATGGGTTAGTGAAAGAAAAAATATTTTTCTCTATTTTGTAGAGCAATGATCATCACGTATAATTAATTATCATATTAAATATCATCAACCAAATCCCCTAACACCTCCTTTGTTAGACAGGGCCTTTTTATATGCCCCATCTAATTAATATCTGTTTTTTTACAACATCTTCTTATTCCAGTTCAAGAAACTGCAAGCACTGCATCTTTGGTACACAAAGATGCGAGGTTAGACTCCCATATCTCCAATTTTAAAGAAAAATTGTAAACTAAACAGATAAATTATAGAACAATTTTAACATTGATAAAACAAGTTGCCAATAGGCATTCCATTAGAACTCATTTGGTAAGATTATGATCTTTTATTGCCCTTTTACTAAGGGGTTACTTTGTACCCCCCCCCCCCCCCCTTATACCCATTGGCGTAATTAGCTTAATTTATTAACTAAAATTGTGCCAAACTAGCAAAATTATATGCCTATTATGTTAATTTTGAAGAGAATTGATATTACATTGCTTATTTGATAATATTAGCACTTATAATACAGTTAGCAGATATTTTCACCTTAAGTCACATATACCCCAAATCATTTTTAAAAGTGCAAGTCACATCTACCCCATCAAGTCGCATTTACCCCATGTATATTACTCAGGTTGCGCCTACCCCAGTTTAGGTCACATCTACCCCATCTCAAGTCGCAAATACCCCGGTGGTGGGGTAGGCGTCCCTTGTCAGGTCACACCTACCCCGCTTGTCGTCCATCCGTCCGTTCGTGTGTCCGGGCAATAACTCAAATACCGGTTGACGGATTTCATTCAAATTTTATAGGCTTATGACTTATGGGTGTAGGACCTCTGCTCGAAAAGGAATTTTCAATATGGCCGCTTAATTCAAAATGGCGGCCATTTTTCGGAAAAAATATAATCTTTAATTACTCAAATACTAGTGGATGGATTTGGTTCAAATTTTATATGCTGTTGCCTGGGTACAAAGGACCCTTGCTCAAGAAGACATTTTCAAGATGGCTACCAAATTTCAAAATGGCGGCCATTTTTCGCAAAAAAACATTATCTTTGATAACTCAAATACCATTGAATGGATTTGGTTTAAATTTTAGATGCTGATACCTAGGGACATAGGAGCTCTGCTCAAGAAAGGATTTTCAAGATGGCAGCTAAATTTCAAAATGGCGGCCATTTTTTGTAAAAAAACATTATCTTTGATAACTCAATTACCATTGTATGGATTTGGTTCAAATTTTTCATGATGATGCCTAGGGTCATAGGAGCTCTGCTCGAGAAGGGATTTCAAGGTGGTAGCTAAATTTCAAAATGGCCGCCATTTTTCATAAAGGAACGTAACCTTTGATAACTCAAATACCAGTTGACGGATTTGGTTCAACTTCTATATGCTGATGCCTAGGGACAAAGAAGTTCTGCTCAAAAATAAATTTTCAAGATGGCCACCGAATTTCAAAATGGCCGCCATTTTTCGTAAAAAAAGTGATTTATGATAACTCAAATACCAGTGGATGGATTTGGTTCAAATTTTATATGCTAATGTTTAGGGAAAAAGGAGATCTGCTTCAGAAGAAATTTCATAGGCGTTAGCTGAATTTCAAAATGGCTGCCATTTTTCATTAAAAAAGTAATCTTTAATAACCCAAATACCATTGGACGGACATTCTCTGCTAAAGAAGAAATCTAAAGATGACAGCTGATTTTCAAAATGGCAACCATGTTTCATAAAAACATAATCTTTGATAATTCAAATACCAGTGGATGAATTTGGCTCAAATTTTTTATCAAAACATGTTTTGTTCGGTGGGATTTGCTACTCCGTGGAGTTGCTGTTTTTCTAGTTTTTATTGAAAATGACTTACTAGTTCAGGTTGATTCCCCAAGACCCCATGTTAAAAAAGCACAAAAAGTGAAATATCTTTTCTTGTATTGGACAGATAACATTTTCCTTTATTTGACATCTTTTAATTTGCATAAAAATTAGATACATAAGGGTTATATGAAAATTGAACACTAAAACAGATGTAATTTAAGTTAAAGGGAACTTTCTACTGTTTCTGCCATGCTATCTGACCCGAACGAGCCACCTGGTGGTGAAACTGGTAACTACCTACGCCAACTGCATTATTGCATCTGACACTAAACAAGTAACATGCAAAATATGATAATATGGTATCGGAAAATGATACAAAACATGGGCTTTCAATAGTTAAAAGCCCATGTCCAAAATAAACATTTTCAGGATGGATCAGTCCAGAACATTTCAGGTTTTCTAATATAGCAAACTAAAAAAATCTGAAGAAAATCAGAAAAAGTTTCAAATGATTTTAATCATTTTTAAGGGTTTTACTGATTGTTGTGAGGTCATAAACATGTACATATCAAGAAAAATGACATGATATCTGATTTATCCCATGATTTTTAGTCTGACGATTATATAAAAAATATATGATCCTGTGATTTATGAGTGATATGTTTTTCAAACATAAAAATATCACTAATGATGGTTATTGATATGATAATTATCCCATCGAACGAAGTTTGGAGGGATATAGGGAACGCCTCCGTCCGTCCGGGCAATAACTCAAATACCGTTGGCCAGATTTTGTTCATATTTTGTACACACATACCCTATGGGGGTAGAAGTTCTGCTCGAAAGCTGATTTTCAAAATGGCCGCTCATTTAAAAATGGCGGCCATTTAAGTGCCGATTTTACAGTTATTTAGGTGCAATATGTAAAACTGTAATAGCAATATGTTTTAAGTGTAAAAAAAATTATGTAGAACATTAATAAAGCTAGAAATGTAGATATTAAAAAAGCACATGGCAGCCATCTTGAAAAATGGCGGCCTTAACTCGTTATTTTACGATTTTTGCTGTAACTCAAAAAATAGTGGAGCGATTTTGGTCATATTTGGTATGTGAATTCTATAAGCATGGCACACTGTCTAATGACACTTTTGGTAGAAGGCGGCCATTTTGAAAAATGGCCGCCATTTTAACGTATTTTACTATAACTCGAAAAGTAGGGGAGTGATTTTGTTCATATTTGGTATGTTAATACTATAAGCATGGCATGCCCGTAGCCAGAATTTTCCAAGGGGGGGTTCATTTTTCCCAAAAATTCTAGGGGGGGTTCACTTTGGCAAATTTGGCCAAAAATCACTCAAAAAATAGTCAGAATGGTGAAAAACTGCATGATTTTGAAAGAAATTTTGGCCAGGGGGGGGTTCGCCCGAACCCCCCGAACCCCCCCTGGCTACGGGCCTGCATGGCACACTGTCTAATGATACTTTTGGTAGAAGGTGACCATTTTGAAAAATGGCTGCCATTTTTGCTATATACTTTGTTTGTAAAAATGCCAGCCATGGCTGTTCAATGGGATTCGCTACGCTTTGGCGTTGCCGTTGTTCTGGTTATTTTACAAAATCACACCAAGCTGGCAAGGAGAATGTAAAATGTACATGAATGGTTGACATCTTAATTTTATTCACAAATAAAAATATTTACAAAATATATTCTTATCATGCGATAAGCATACTATACTGTGCTGTAGATTGAGAGATGTATTTAACTATAAACCTCCATTAATTTGCACATTATAGAATCTGAGGGATGTATTATAAAACCTCATGTTAATATACAGGGTGAGCCAAAAAAGGTAACCCAAAAAATCTTAATAACTCCAGTATGGAGTTTAAGTAATATTTGGCACAATTTAACCTTGTTCATTGTTCTTTCACTCAAACAAATTTCATTTGTTTTATAGCCATTTTACAAAACATGCTCAAAATGCTGGTCTTGTCTTTGGAGGCAAACTTGAATACATCAGGGAAGTTCTCTTACAGATATCTTGTGCTTCTAGGGTTGTTTCGAAGTTTCTTTTTCGGAACTTGATTTCCGATCGAAATAGTATGAGGCCTTTGATAGGACAATCACTAAGTAGTTACTACAATACCGAGCGGTAAGTTTCATATTATCTTTGAAATAGGCCTAAATATAAAATAACTCAGATGCAGGTAGGCACTGTAGTTACCAGTTTCACCACCAGGAGCAGGGCTTTCAGTAACACGTCCTTAACATTAGGAAGACCCGGATTTTGATGAAGGGACTCCAAAAAAATTTAAAATTAATCCGCCCCTTGGATGCAAAGACCTGTGTTTTCATTAACAAAATTGCTTCAAAAAACGAAAAGAAAATACGTATTCAATGGTTGAATATTAGTTATCTCTTTCAATTGAAGGTATCTATATCATTTAGTGACCTTCTAGACGTTTGTAGAATGCTGATTTTTGAGGGGGGGCTCTCTTTTTGAAAATCAATCCATCCCAGGGACACACTCTTGGGCAAACCTACTGAAAGCACTGAGGTGGCTTGTTGGGGTCAGATAGCATGGCAGGTATAGCAGAAAGTTCCCTTAACTTAAATATTCATCTGTTTTAGTGGTTCAATTTTTATATCACCCTTATGTATCTTATAGTAATGCAAATTATCTTATTATGACCAGTAAAAGAAAATGTTATCTGTCCAATACGAGAAAAGATATTTCACTTTTTGTGATTTTATAACAAAATCTTTTAGCATTTGGAGCATTTTTTTGTAAAATGGCCATGAAATTGTGACTATTGGAAATAAACCAATGGAACTTAGTAGAATGAAAGAACATTGGGACAAGGTTCAATTGTGCCAAATATGGATGACTGAGTTTTAAGGATTTGTTTTTGTTACCTTTTTTTAACATATTAATATACATGTACTGTATTCTCTGTAATAAGTGCCCACTCTCTAATAAGTGCCCATCTCGCTTCACAAAGTTCAAGAAGTATCGAGGAATGATCAAGTATTAACGAATACAGAAAATCAAATTTCTAAAGAAAAATTTGAGTGGGTGATAATAGGAATAGTGAATATACGAGTATGAGAAAAAAGATCAGAATTCTGATGGATCTAATAGGCGATAATAGAGTACCAACACTAAACTGCCGTAAACGTGACACATTTTGCAATTCAATGCACCCTCCCAATAAATATCTATCAATGGGTGCTTCCCACATCTTACTAAACTAATATTATCTCAAAATAGTCTATAATGAATGAAGAAAATGTTCAAATTTTTACCAAGATAGTTTGTGCACAGGATTTTTGCGGACATCAAAAGATTGTCACATTAAAACGACTTTCACACGATAAATTACGATCTATCATCAAATCAAAAAGATAAGGTAACGCTTAAAGGAACATTCCTTGCCAGACTATTTCTCTCCTGATATGGTAGCTACAATCATATATATACTTTACATATTTAGCAAAACAAGGGAAAATGTTTTCATGTGGTCAATATTGATCATTTAAAAATGTAGTACTCATTCCCAGTAAGCTGCCATCTTTTCAGATTTCTTTCAGGAAGTGATGTCATCGACTCTCACCTGTTATAACCTTGTCTATTACAGTATAGGAAAGAAGTACAAAATCACTTCTAAACAAGAAGCCCTTATCTTCTGTGTAAAAATATTTTCAGGAGTTGTCAACTTAGAACTAAAGAAGAGATCATCAAAAGGATTTTAATCATAGTCCAAATTGAAAAAAATATTCAGCTGGTTTAGTAATTCTAAAAGCTCCTTACCTAATGTTAAATGCAAAGTTGAGAGTCGATGACATCACTTCCTGAGTGAAATTTTAAAAGATGGCAGCCTACTGGAATTGAGCACTACATTTTTAAGTGATCAATATTGACCATTTCAAAACATTTTTCTGTTTTTTTTATAAACTTGCAAAGTATGTATATGGTTATAGCTACCATATTAGGAGAGAGATGGTCTGGCAAGGAATACCCCTTTAAGATCGATATCAAAGATATGGAAAATAATTTGGAGAAAACAATTCCTTCAATTTGAGGGGGTCTATTGGGAATTTCTTCAATCCCTGTCTGTTCAAACATTGTCTATTAGATACTGCAAGATCCTTGATTTAGCGATCTTAACCGTAATGTCTCCAATAACAATACAAAACAGGGTGTCCCGAAAGTATGCCCCCCCCCTAGGCAGACATATACCAGTGTCGTCATAGTATGTGTATGGTATAAAGCTTTAAACTGGTATATGACACATACTATGAGGAGACTGGAATATGTCTGCCTACGGGGGCCCAATACTTTCGGGACACCCTGTACAATACAATACAATAAATACAATACAATATACAGGTATATCATTCAAAATATGCCATTACTTCGTTTTGATGTTGCAAGTAAGGCATTCTTGGCAAGAAAAATTGCCATGCATGAAATTTCCGGGAATTTATGACTTCTTTCATATATGGGCGCTTATTAGAATGGTCTGAAGGATGTATTTTCAATTTTCTAAGTGCCTTGGGCGCTAATTACAGAGAATACGATAATCACTGTTTTTGACGAAATACTTTTATGATACTCTGTCTGAATTCCTTGTTCCTCCAAGTATATAAAATAGCATTGAGAAATGAATTGCAAAAAACAAACAACTTGCAATATGTATGTAGAATCTCAAACCAAAGTTTGAAGGGCGGTTTTCTCAACATTGAAGTCAACAAAAAAGGTGCATAGCAAATGTATAGTACACCGAACACAATTACCATGGTCTTTGTTAGTCTTTTATCATCAACTGTATTGTCTTGGCCTGATACACCTTGTTCAATGGCTTTAATCTGTTTTGCTTGCTTCCAAGCTACATAAAACAACCGAGAGTAAAGAATAGTTGAAAAGATGGTCACCAAAACTGCAATGCCAATAATAAGGGTATAATACAGTCCCCTGTTGGCAAAGTTGAGTGATGTGCATTCAGTTGAGTATGGAGGATACTCATTGAATACAACAAGAATTATATTACTACCAATTCCATACATCCATACTATGAATATCCCGCTGTACAAACGTTTGTCTGTTATAATTTGCACATACTTCAATGGGTACATCACCACAATGAATCTATCAAATGCAATTAAAGCAAATGTTAAAAAACTTATGCTTGCTGATACCTGTAGCAGAAATTGGCATGTGAGGCAGCTGGATTTTTCTTCGTTGTTGTTTGTGTATTTCAACCCTGGGGCAAACAGTCGAACAGAACAATACAATAGTGACAGCCCCAGTATGGTGTCTGCAAACGACAAGTTCATAAATAGTTTATTAGCCATTGTTTGGAGTTGCTGAATCTTTGATATTGTGACAATTGTTATAATGTTCACAATTAGGATAGCTATTGCTGTCACCTCAGCTAATACGACATTGAAGATGGCCACTGATGAGGGTATCTCTATCCCATGATCCTCTTTCACAGTAGAGTTTGTCAGAGCAGTATTGTTTATGCTATCCATGTTCATTTTAATTTACATAGAATTGTTAAAATTGTATTGTACATATATTGTGTATATTCGTATATTGTAACCAACTAAAATCTGTTATAAGCCTTTATGAAGGACATAGGAGTGGTGATGAAATTGTCTCTCTGATCTCATGATAAATCAATTTGCTATTTCTCTTCATTATTATATTGTATGCAATCACTTCTATTCTACTGTGGATGTGTGCAGATAAATGAGGATTTCAATTATTCATGCACAGTACAGGGTGTCTCAAAAAAATGTACCCAAAAGTATATCAACAGCATAGACAAACCATTCATTTTTTGCATGGTCTTGTAGATAAAAGATGAAAGCTTTTTTTATACACAGTTTTTAATTCAGTTTTGCTTTTTTGATACTTTAACCCATTACCTTTTACACCACATATTCAATGTAACCTCATATTCCGATGACAGTCTGTATCCTTACTACTACATTGTTCATCACATTTGATATTTCTGGTGGAATGTTTTGATTTCTGTTTGGATGCTGGTCTTAAGTTGTTCTAGGTTTCTTAGCTTGGGTTTAGCATAAAAGTGGTCCTTCAAATAGCCTTAGAGAAAAAAGTATGGGCCGTCAAATGTGGGGAATAGGGAGGCCCTCACAATGTCTTATAGCCCCCTTATACAGAGAGGTCAGAGGTTCAAGAAACTGTATTGGTTGGGATTCTAGTGTAGCCTTTGTTATGTGTATCAATTTGAGACCACTGTGTTATCATTTGGATATCATTTGGTCTCCAGGCTAGCCTGCCTAACTCTGGAAGGTAACTCCTGAATCAGTTGCCGATAATTGACCTGATTATCTGTGCTTGTTCTGCCATCGTCATCCTCAAATATCTTTCTCTGTGGCTATTTGAAGGAGTGTTTTAATGCTCATTCCAAGCAAAAAGACCTAGAACAACTTAAGGACAACATCCAAAGAGAAATCCAAAAGATTCCACCGCAATTATTATCAAATGTGATGAACAATGTAGCAGTAAGGATACAGGCTGTCATCGAAATATGAGGTTACATCGATTATGTGGTGTAAAAGGTAAAGGGTTAAAGCATCAAAAAGACAAGACTGAAATAAAAATGGTGTATTGGGGAGAAAACGTTCGTTCATGTTTTACTATATGACCATGCAAAAAATGTCTGAAAATATTGATGGGTTTATCTGTGCTCTTGATTTACTTTTGGGTACATTTTTTGAGACACCCTGTATAATATATATTCGATGTAACTTGATTTTGCCCTAATTTGATCAATATCATTCAACATATTATATATAATTTGGACAATAGAACATATTACATTGACAAATTTCACTAATTATCAAGGCCCCTATCTACAAAACACTAGATTATGAGTTTTACATATTTATTTATAGGCCCTAATCAAAACAAAATGATACAATATTTGCAATCTACTCTAAATTGCCTTTCATTTGAGTATAATAAAGCTATACTTCAAAACATCTCAAAATTAACATAAATTTCTATTTTCCCAACCCCCATATATGGCCCCTGGGGGTCAGGGTGAAAAACAAGGGATTTATGTGAAATAGATAGATGTTGTGAATATACTACTAAAATTTCAAAAAATAATATTTATTACTTTGGTTTAAAATGAAAAACATGCTATTTTGTGAAACATTACCGCCATTTTTAAAGTGTTGGCCATCTTGAAAATCTTTTTTTGTAGATTCTTAGGGATGTATTCAACTATAAACCTCCATTGATGTGTATACTTTACATTATGAGGGATGTATTCAACTATAAACCCCCATTGATTTGTATTGTAGATTCTAAGGGTTGTATTCAACTATAAACCTCCATTGATGTGTATACTTTACATTATGAGGGATGTATTCAACTATAAACCCCCATTGATTTGTATTGTAGATTCTAACGGTTGTATTCAACTATAAACCTCAATTGATGTGTGTGTTGTAGATTCTGAGGGATGTATTCAACTATAAACCCCCATTGATTTGTATTGTAGATTCCAAGGGTTGTATTCAACTATAAACCCCCATTTATGTATGTGTTATAGATTCTAAGGAATATATTCAACTGCATGTATAAACCTCAATTGATGTGTGTTGTAGATTCTGAGGGATGTATTCAACTATAAACCTCAATTGATGTGTGTTGTAGATTCTGAGGGATGTATTCAACTATAAACCTCCTGTAACGAAGGACCAGTTCTTCAGTGCTGGCTTTGCTGAGAGAAAGATAATCATGTGTTCTGAGATCATTGACACAATACGACTACAGTTCAAGCCACCCAAACCAAAGTCAAAGGTAATTGCTGATGTCTGTGGGGCAGAGGAGCTCAGTTTAAAAAACAGTTTTCAGGATTTTAAATGACTACCATGTTCCCACCCTTCTTTCCAGCTTAACTAATATTATACATGTATCATCACATCTATCACAAACAAACTGTACACTATTCCTACATTTTATTCTTCTGATTCAGTGAATAGTGGTATGGATTTTACAGTTTCAGGCTGTATTTATGAATAACTACAAGAATTCTATACAAGAAACATTATTTAGTCCTTCCTTTTTTACTGAACTAATGAAACTTTTATGTATTAACTTGAGATTTATGATGTCATAGGACAAATGGAGGTGGTAATTAGCAATGGTTCCAAAGAAATGTTCTTATGATTTACTTGAGATGGAATGAATGTTGTACTTTATTTCAAATAATTTCCTAAAGCGATGATGTTTTCTGATGGCTTCATGATGTACTGAAATGCCTTAATGATGTGTTTTGATTTCTAGTTGAACTGCAGTTTATTATCAAGTCAGACTAGACCATCTGCACAGACCTCTTCTACACACAACAAGTCCGCCTCGGCAACCAAAGAGACCCCTGTATTGTTCAAAGTAAGTCAAGACATATAACCCAGGGTTCTCACCAGCAAATTTTTAGACCTCGGATTTTTCGCGGTATCGTGACTACTCCTCCCCCATGTGTGATCAGAGATATCCTATCAGTATACTTTTCAAAGTACTACTTGAGAGAGTATCTTCCTACTTTAATCACAATATGCATTTCTAAAAGGTTCTGACCTCCTATTCCCTCATGGTGAAAGATATGATTGTCTAAAATCACTTGCCATACTGCACATTGTCTTTTAGAAATGGAGGGAAGGGATCAATATTTTCCAAAAATGTATCCCATATCTTCCCAAACAGTGAATTGTCTATGAACAGTCAAACAATGTTGATTGAAATCCATATAATTTTCTAGGGACAATCAAGTCAAGCTTTTTTGCTTTTCAGAAACCTGAGTCTCCCCCACTTCAGCAACGTGTGGCTCCATTGCAGCAGCATGTGGATGCAGTAACATATGGAGAAGATAAATGGTAGGATATTGCTGCAGTTATTCTTTCTTATCCTTCATTTGTTGTACATCACATTTTTATCACACCACGGTTGGGATGTAATAGTTGCAATTGTGGCCAGAAATCCCGATCATTACATTATCATGTCTGTGTTCCACTTTTTTTGTCATCAAGATTCCAATAAAAGCACATGTTGAATTTTCTTCGTTCACATGTAAGATGATATCATGTGAAACCATTTTCTTTTCTGGCAGCCAGTTTAGAAGTTTTTCATGAGCGGGGAGCAATGCTTTAAAAGCCAAAGCAATATTAATACCATTAACAAACATACTATAATTGTAAAACTGTAAATGTATTCACATGTGTAATTTGTGGAAATAAAGGAAATGCCATCGACTTGAAGTCTGTGATACCACATGTGCTAGAGTATGTTATTATCCCATTGAACAAAGTTAAGCTGTCTGTCCGTCCCGTCGATAACTCAAATACCTTTGGCCAGATTTTGTTCATATTTTGTACACATATGTCATATAATGGTAGAAGTTCTGCTTGAAAGCGGCCAGTTTTCAAAATGGCCACTTGTTTAAACATTGTGGCCATTTCAGTCTTATTTAGGTACAATATATAAAAAGTTATATGGGAGAGAAATATAGATACTTAGGAAACACATGGCAGCCATCTTGAGAAATGGCACACTACATGTAGGTGGCCAATTTCCAAATTTTTAAATGTTTTATTTTACGTTTTTTACTTTAGCTCAAAAGAGATTGTGTTCAGGTTTGATTTTTCCGTCGATATATGAATACTCATAAGCAAGGCACACTGTCTTATGACACTTTGGCTAGTAGGCAGCCATTTTGAAAAATGGCCAGCATTTCCATGCATTACGATTTTGTTGAAATTGAATATGTGCCTACTTAGAAGCATGTTACACTTTGACGATTTGTCCAGCGAGTGACCATTTTGAAAATGGTGGCAATTTTTATTTATGTTATTATTTTGGTATAACTGAACAAGTAGTAGAAGGATTTTGTAAAAATGGCAGCCATTGCTGTTCAATGGGATTTGCTATGCTTTGGCGTTGCTGTTATCTAGTTTCTATTGTTTAGTGCTTCAGCAACCTCTCTACCACTGCCACAAGTCATCAGGGAACCTGTGAGTGTTAGAGGCTGTGAGAAACAACCCATTGGGCCCATCCCTGCACATATATGGCAGGAGAAAGGCTACCACACATACAATACACCATCTATAGCTAGGGTACAGTCGGCCTTCGTAGAGGTTGTCAATATTCCAAAAGGTAAACTTTTTAACATTCCTTGAACTATTATAGATGAATCAGTCAATATTTTGACATTTGAGCAACATAACATGTAAAAATATAGTGCTTTTTGACTCATATCACACACTTGTCTGTCTGACTGTCTGTCTATCTCTCTGTTTGTCTGTCAGTCAGCACATTGGTACCTTCAAAATCCTCCATGACAATTGAAATGATTTAACTTCTAAAATGTGTCTATATAAAGTCGTCAATTGTTCCATAAGTGGCATCTTGAAAAATCAGGCTTTCAGCTCTTTTTTATCATAACTCCACAAGTACTCCATCAACATGCTTGAAATTGCACAGGTACATGTACCTTAATTTCCAGGTTATCAATAATGTCTACATGTTTCAACGAAATAAACATGAATTATTCTTAGCCTATACTCTTAAATATTGATGTATATGAACTTCCCATGTGAGCACAGTAACTATTTTTCATTATCCCATCAGACAAAGTTCTGAGGAATATGGGGAACGCCTCCATACGTCTTTCCAGGCGAATCATAAAATAACACCTTTTTCAAAATGGTTGCTCAATAGCCAAATTGTCATGTTAAGTCAATGGAGCACATCCCCATGCCAAGTCAATACACCCCTTACTTGCTGAACTTAATGACCTCAACCTCAGCCCATGTACGTCCAAATGCTTAAATATTTTCCATAGTATTATGTGACATTGTATTCTTCATGTGACACCTAAAGTGATGATTCTGTCTGACCATGGGGATATTTGCCCATAATTGCACTATGTCCTTTCATTGAATTTTGATTTTTGTCCAACTTTTGTCTTACATTAAACAAAGCATGGATGGAACTACATGTAGCTATAAAATTAGCAAAATACTTGCCCCGGCAAAACTTAAACCTGAATTTTATTTTAGACATTTTTCATTGATTTTGTAAAATTGTGTGCCAGAGTAATCAAATATTCTCTGGATTAGGTTTTACCTAAATGTATTTCCCGAGATGATCTTTGCCATACATTGCATTGTCAGCCATTACTTATTATGTGACAAAACTGCTATATTTGTAGGTGAAACTGCCAATAGTCCAAGAGTTCTAGACATCATGGCACATACACCTGCGCGTGGTTCAATACAGCATACAGACATGGGAGCCAGAGACTATGTAGAAACAGCCAATACATTTGCTCACACTGAACAGCTTAATAGGGTAGAGTTTTCCTTAATACGGCTTCCACTTTTTATTCCCTCAAATTCAAAAATTGTTGTCCATTCACTTCAAAATACAGTCACTGTATTATGTCATATATATACATGTACGTGATATTCTTTTTATTTAATTCAGCAGTAATTTTTTACATATAATATATCTAATACATACCCTGGACATCCTTCTGGTGGTATAGAGCATTTTACTATAATATCTAGATGGCCAAATATGTGAGGCAATGCATTGCCTTACCAAATTGAACAAAACATATATTTTCAGTTGTATGATCAATTGTATATGCCACCTTGAAGCCTGGGAGTTTTTGGTCACCCTTGTTTGTGCTGAGATTATCAGAGATCCATACAACAAGAAAATTCGCATGACATTGTCCTTGATATGAAGCTATAATTACCCTGCCCCATGGGAATAGCCGGCTGTTAGGCAGGTGGGGCAATGCATTGTCTTACCAAACATGAACAAAAGATATATTTTCAGTATAGTATTGATTAAAACTGAAAATTATGTCACATAGCGGCTTAAGTTTTGCTTTGTTTAGTTGTTTTGTGATTCATATTCCCATTAAATATTTTCAGATTTTAGAAATGCTGGATGAGCGTACAGGCCAGATTCAATCCATGCAACATAGACTGAATGATTTGGAACAGCACTTGCCAAAGATTAAACCCCCTAGTTTAGATTTTGATGACACTCAACCTATGCACAGCCCTAAAAAGGAAAACATTGATAATCATTTAAGAAATGAAAGAAAGATGGATGATATTCTAGCAAGATTGGTGCTTTTGGAAACAAGAATGCAGATTGTAGAATCAAAGGTTTGCAAAACTACAATAATTAGACTTTTACAATAGGTATAAAATGTTGGGATGCTTTTATCCATGTATTGTACATTTTTTATATCAATACATATAGTAAAAAACATTTTCCCTCATGAATTTGAGTAAAAAGTAAAGAGAAAATAATGTTCATAGATTTAGTTGAATGTCATTTATATGACTCATTCACATTGATTGGTAAGATCAATCAGGTACACATAATTCATAAAGGCTGGGCGAGGCAAAATATGTTGCGAGAACTCTGTTGTTAACAGTTGATAATGTTTTTGTATGTTTCAGATGAATAACAACACATTAGATTCCAAGGAAAGAAATCGTCAAGTCTTATCTGACCAATCAAATCAGGAGAACTGAAAATTGAGGACCAATGCAATCAGAGACTTAAGGATAGTCCACCCCATGTTACAGTTTAAAGAGTGTAAAACATTGGAAACAATATTGATCACACTACTGGTGGGGTATAGTCGTCATGTTGGTGGAGTGATCCTTCTCATGAGGAGTCCCAGATTTTTGTCTCCTTGCTTTGATAATTAGAACTGAGGAAAAAATATGTCAAGATGTCTTTAGATTGTAACGTAAAGCCATAGATTCTCAAGATGTCTTGACTAAGATGGCTCAGCCAAAACGTTTTGGAAACCTAGTCATAAATAAAGACGTTTTGACACCTAAGCTATAAGACAACTGAAAGGGCAAACATAAATCCATCAGTTTAAGCTAAGACCTCTTACCTGGATTTTAGATGTAAAGGAGAAGAATTATTTTCATTGTCCCTTTTATAAACCACAAACCTTGCCACCTGTTTTCCGTTTTTTGCTCACACTTTTTCAAATATATATCCTTGATCCAGATGTGTTTTAAAAAATTATTTTTCTAAAAAAGGGAAACGGGATCACCATTGCTTTAAACTGTGCTCCAAAGCCCTTAAACCAGTGCTGAACTGATGGTTCTTTCATTATTCCTTTGAGATCTAACTCCAAGACATCTTGGAAAAAAGTGTAAACTCAAATATATTCTGGGATATCTTGAAAGGAATAATGTAAACTTGTCTGAATTTTTATTAGAGCTCTTAGCAAAGACATCTTTATGCTTTGTATATTGGTAATAGGGCTAGTGACTAATACAGTGCGGAAACGAGTATTTTCGTTGAAAGTGCAGGTTGTAGTTTTATTTGGTAGTCTTTGAATGTTTTATAAAGTTCTCTCACCTGCCAATACACCCATCATGATCCCAGCACATCGGGGATACATTCCATTGTTAAATAAATTGACAACCATCAATCATCTAGTTTTTTATGGATATGTTGTCAACTGCAAAAAATATTTTGATTTTGAATAAAAATCCTGTGTTTAACCCCACTTGATTCCAAAAATATAATTTTGAGTGTCAGTGTGTAAGTGTGACAATGGGATATTTCCCTTGTGCATAATGAATGTATTTACAGATTTGAAAGTACTCACAAACATTCATTGCAAAATAAAGCTACTGATCTACCTGATTTTTGGGGAATTAGATGTATTTCCTGAATTCTCCACATAATTACTCTGCGTTTCCTACCCCTGTGATAGTGACATATTGTAATAGATTCCAACGTTTTTGTGGCGTAATAAAAGTTGAATACTCAGGGATTTTGGTGACTATTTATTAAGGTGAATTTTTGGGTTCGCCAAATTAAAGAAAAATGCAGTAGTAATTAATAATTATGGCATAAACATGTACATCTAATAAGCCATGTAAACATGTTTGTACTGTCCAAACTTGTAGATCTGATATATGTTATATTAATAAAGCTAATCAAATTTGAAATATCTGTGTCTGTGAAACAGTACCACACTATTAAGAGTATTTGTGTTTTATCCAGACATCCTTTTTTGATTTCATAAAATATGACAACAATGAACACATCACATATTAGTGTAGCAAGATGTGAGCTGAGACAGGCAAGTTACAATTTTAAAGAAAAATACATGTATGATAAGATACATCATACATTTTACACTAAAACTGTGAAAATCATGTCCCACAGAAGAAGCATATTCTCTTTGCCTTAACTTATCCTCACCTATTTTAATTTGCCTCAGCTATTTTATCGCTTCTTGATATCACTTTCTTTGGCCTTCTGGGAAATATAGTGGCGACATTATTACTGGATATTACAAGCATATTAACTGATAAATGTGAACATTCTTAGTATCAGTATTAATAATTGAATCTGCATTAATACTGCAGATACACATACAATGTATTTTTGGAAAATCCCCGGGGTAATTTTAGATTGTGCAAAGCACATTTTCCCCTTTTGTCAAAATGTTAATTTTAGAGAACTCAAGACAATATCTTGGTAAATAGACATTGTAGTGACACTAATATACCATCAGACTGTAGATGATATGGCTTTCCAGTATGCTTTTGCCAAATTAAACTTCATTCTCACTGAATACTCCAAATTGAATTACAACCACCTACTATATGACATTGTGGAAATCCGCCAAATTAAGTTTATCTACAGTTACAAGACAAACCATGATTATTACTTTTTCTTACAGAAAATGTTTCAACATTTTAAGAATCCAGTATTTACGGGGGTGGGGTGTCAGAGGTCAAACTGAAGTTTTTAAATAATTGAACCATAGGCAAAGGCCGATAGAAATAATTTTTAAATAAAGATGGCATGGTGGTCGATCTTTGTTTATTTATAAATATTCTCTTGAGAAAAAGATAAAACTGGATTCTGTTGGTGCTGCCATCTTTATATCGGCCCAGAACCTATGCATTGAACTTTTGACGCCTCTCCTCGGTACAAATATGCATCTCCTAAAAGATAACTTCAAGATGTCAAATGCTTAATTGCCTCCTTTATTGTCTTAGTTTAAGAGGGCAGCACTATACAGTAGTCTTTGAGACTCCACATCCGGACAACATGAAGTTCACTTCAGTGTGTTCAGTAAATAGCCAAAACGACCAAGGACATCAATTGGAATTTCAGAAACCATCTAAAATATTGACAACACTATTCTGGATTGCAAAAGCTATTTGTATAAAATCAATGCTTGGCACCAAAAACAATGTCCCCCATTCTTCAGTGGAACAGAAAAAACTAAGTTGGGTGAACACAATTCACTGGTAAGTTATATTGCTCGTTCGGGTCATTTGAGGTCAACTGATTGAGCTCCAATCATTTCCAAACAGTTAATTACAAACAATAATCAATTAAGTATTTTTCTTTATTTTTTCAGATTAATATCTACATTTTACAAAAAATAATATCCCTACATGAAAGAAACTGTACAAACACTACTAAAACTTGAGTTAGCATAGTATTTATGTGTAAGAAACCAATTATAGCATATATCAAAAATAGAGTAACTTTAACACCCTCAAGTTATTTAGGATATTGACATAATTGTTCCTCAATATAATTTTCTATCAAAAAATTCTGCTCCAAAGTTCTAGTGTTGAACACATTAAATTACGCTCATTCAGTCAGTAAAACTAATATTACAATAGCAGAATAGTATACCTTTATAACATTTCTTCATGCGATTTAAAATCAAAGCGAACTTAAAACATAGTCATGGTAAAAGAACGGTAAGATCATGTACATTTGTGAATTGTAGCCTATATACATAGTGGATATCCAGAGAATGGAATAATAATTAACATTGTCAAAAATCAACAAAATTTAGGAATTCGATAATAAAGTAGAGGACTATAGAAATCTTTGAGATCAACTGTCGGTCGTTAAACAATATTCTGATTCTATTTGAATAGATATATCTGTTTGACTATTTACAAATTACTTCTCAATGTTCAAAATATACAACAATGAAAACTCCTGTGTATCAGCATAGGCATTATAAACAAGGGCTAAAAATAGATTAAAACAGTTTTTAAACATCTCAAAAATGCCCTGTGTTTCAACACTGAGGTGTCTATCATTACCTAATGTAATCTCATTTAAATTACATCTTGCAGGACAACAGTACAGGATAATTCAAATTAGTTATTTACAAGTGATCACTGATCAGTCTCCATACACATATGACACAAAACTTTGAACCAATGACACACAAGCTTTACACTATCTCCAACCTCCTCTTTAATAATGACAATTACAAGCGAACTCCTGGAAAATATCGAAAAAATTCACCCAATATAAAAAGGAGTGTGAATATCCACTTAGGTTTGATGTTAAGGTAGCAGCTGAAGATTCACCTGAAATCAAGGAGGTAAATCTGTCTGCAAATTTTGACTGAATTTTGATTCGCAGTACATGACAAATGCTTAAAAATGTGAGGTGAAGATTCAGTGTTCTACTTTTAAATGTTCAATTTAATCAGAATCTTCTTCCTCGTCATCATCTTCTTCTTCGTCACTCTCATCTACTTCAGCTACGGGAGCTTTGACAGCCTTCACTGGTGACACCTTTTGTTTCTTTGCACCACCACCTCCTCTGTAGTTGGCCATCTCCTGGAGAATAAAAATGTCACAGGATTTAAAAATTGTTAAATTAATGGTAAAAATTGACTACCATCAGTTTGGTTTAAGTTTTGGTTATAATTTTTGAGACAGAATCTCTTCATTGTCGGAGGCTAAATATTTTCCCAGAATTTAAAAAAGCAATTGCTAAATCCCTATTGATACAATGTGAAAATTTATTTTAATGTTATACTCACAGCTTCGTATCTCTGTTTGTCTGCAGCTGCTAGGGCATCGTATTTGGTTTTGTCAGTGACCTTAGCCCATCTCGCTCCAAGTTCTTTAGCTACATCACCCACAGAGTAGGATGGGTTTGCCTCTCTCACTTTGGGACGTTCCTCAGCACAGTAGTGGAAAAATGCAGACCTGAAATAATATATTTCATTATTTTATAATTGAACTAAAACTTTAATAAAATAAAAATAATTCCTTGTGCACTCATGTACTTCTATTTAATTCAGCCGATCTGCCAAATTAAGTCACCTGCATATTCTCAGGGTTTGCATCATTTACCACATTTTCCAAGAAATATGTTTCTCCAAAATTTGTTCAAATTCGTCACTTTTGTACAATGAATACAACAATATGTCCTTTTCTCAACTACTTTAAAAAGAACCAATGACAACTTACAAGTCAAACTAAAGTCAACAGATAGCAAAGAGGATAAAATAGGCCTCATAAGGGCATCCTTTGAAGTTTGCCTAATTTTTCAATATTGCAAGTCCAACAAATTAAGTAGCCGCCAATTGTTCAAAACAACAATTCCACCAAAATAAGTCACGCCAAATTAAGTTGAAGAGCAAATGGCAAAAAGCAAAGAAGGATGGATATAAATAAACTATGTTCTAAAGCATGATATGTATAGCCATATATTTTATGTTCCAAGTCGTTTGGTCACATAAAGGTAAGGAAAATATCAGACTAGCAAAAATCAATATAGGCCATTTGAATATGGTGACTTGTATAGTGTGCAAATTGAAGTGAATCAGCAGAACTCACAGTGCCCTTTTTGGTGCATTGGGGTCCTTCTTCTGCTTCTTCCTCTTGCCAGCTCCCTCCTCAGTTGGGGTCCAGGCAGCCATTTCACGCTCATAACGGCTCTTGTCTTTCTCAGACATCTGGTCAAATCTCTTTTTCTCTGGTGGACCCATCAACTACAAAAACAAAGCTTCATATTACAAATAAAACTTTTTCATGTGGTTGCTTAACATGTATATCCAATATATGATTGAATAATCTATCCAAATTGAATGACCATGGTATCTAAGATAAATGATCAATAATATCCAAGATGAAGAACTGGGCCTCTGGGTAAACAATATCTTTTACTCAAAAAATGGATAAACTCACTTTCAAAACAATTTCTTATAAAAGGTCACTGTATTCTGCATGCTTATAATGAAATAATACTTCGAATTATGGAATCTTGTTTTCATCACAGCGAGTGTGAAGAAGAGCATGTAGGCCTGTAAGTGTAATGATATCTAAAATCTCACCTTCCAACGATCGGAGCATTTCTTTGAGAATTCAGCAAACTGGACTCCCTCAGATGGATGTTTCTTCTTGTGTTCTTCACGGCAAGTCTGGACAAAGAATGCATATGCAGACATACGTCCTCTAGGCTTTCCTGCTTCTTTCTTTCCCATGGTGATAAGAGTTCAATGAAGTAGTTGAATCTGGAAATAAAGATTTAAAATCTGTTTAACAAGCTTGTAGGAAGTCATTTTAGATGCTGAATCTGGTTTGTCAATTCTTATCATTCTAATCAAGCCCAGCAAATTTACCAAATACACATAAGACCATACGGCAGTATATGTCAAATTGTAAATTGGCAGACTCAGATTAATAGGGGTGAGAATATACAATAACCAAAGATTCAAATAAGCTAACCAAAATCCTTAATATTTAAATACAAGAACTGCCTTGAACCCTTTTGCAATGGGTATTACAACTAAAATCAGTAGCAGAACTGCCCAACACTCATTACCCAGGGAGCACCTGTGGAACAAACATTAAAAATGCTAATCAATAGCATGATCTAACAAAATCAAAACAATTGAGTCAAATAACATCTAAGAAATATAATATTACATGTAGTCGCATAAATGAATGCATGAAAAAGCATAAGCTAAATATTCAAATTCAATTCCGAAGTAAAGGAAAAAAGTTTCTAAGATTCTCCATATTTCTCCTTTTGTGTTGTGAACAACAACCTCCTGTTCTATTTTTAGAATATAGGACAAACAAACAATGTGTACTATCAGGCAAACTTGTGCAAAATTAACTAAAAAAATATCAACAAACTGATGTATGTATGAATCCTAATGGGTTTGTATAGGACTTCAATGTCAGTTGAAGTCAATAGAAGAAGTCTGAGGATGCAAAGAAAAATGCTTCAAAAACCTCCATTTTGTGAAAAACAGTAAAAGCAGGCCATTGAGAACAAAGAACCATTCTATCTTCCTCCTAAATATGTGATATATAACCCTAGATATGTTTCCAAAGTAATTGTAAAATTTCATTTCTCAATACAGCCTCCCTATAAATAACATGTACCATTGGATTCAATACAAATCCATAGGTTTCCATTGAAAAACATGGATGCTAAAACGGTGAAGAAGAAACGACCTAAATTACACCTTCAAAATGGATATTTGCTTCTTCATGAATGAAAGTCCCCTTAAAAAACTTTAAACAACCATATTTATGAAGAAAATCCCGAATTGAAAGTGTTTTCCAATAGCATTGACTTCGTTTTAAAAGTCGGTATAATTTACTATGGTTTATATACAAAGCAATGGGGAAAATAACGTTGGGATCTCCATTGCCTTGAAAGTCTATGGCGTGTACAAATCCTCCATAGACAAAGGGAATCAAAAAAAGAAACAGCAATATCTCGATTTTGGAGAAAGGTAACAGGACGAAAATTGAAATACACCTAGTTTGTCACCAGAAGTTCCATATTGTTCAGTTTGATCACACAATCATACTTTACTTGAAAAGATATAGGCAACCGACTAAGTTCAATTTTACCCTATCCTCCATTATGGAAGGCCGCCATAGTTCAACATAGGCATTTCGCACCTGTCATCTTAGAAGTGAAATTGCATCCAGTTTAACACCTCAAACTAACTTCAAAATAATTGCAAGTTAAAGTTACATAACGTTTCTGTTTGATCTATAAGTTTTTCTGGAAGAAAATTACATATACCTAAAGAAATAAAGATATACTTACAGGCAATAACGGTGTCTTTGCAATGGCTTATCGTATACCCACGCTACTTATGCTGTGGTATGTACGGGGCTATGTCTAGGCATTATTTAGCTCTGATTGGTCAATTTCAGTTTTTTTCCTGACCTCAACGAATCAAACTACTTAGATCAGTCAGGTGACTTCATTATATATGCAAACCAATGAAAATGCTCATATGTAAATTTAATAGTTAGGTTTCGCGGGAAATAATGTATGCAAAAGTAAACAACATCACTCTTGTTGCATTTTTACGTCATATTTGTTATTTAATTTTCACTTCATCGAATAGTTAAGTAGAAAATGTAAGGTCTATTAGTATTTAAAGAGCAAATAAGCCTTACGTTGCAATGTAAAACGTATTTTAAGCTTTCCGTAAAGATAAACAAGTAGGCGGGGCCTAATTGTATGACGTCATTTGACCTCTGACACAAATTAATTTCCGTGTTGAGGGGCCGCCATTTCTTCAAATCTTTGTGTTAACATTCTCAAAAGTGACTTTATTTGCTCACTACGGACCGAGGGCGGTAGTTTCACTTACACTGGAAATGCAGGTATGTTTGTTGTGACTTTGAGAATATAAAGGCCATAGATTTAATACCCATAACTATTTAGAATCAGCTAAAACATCAACTTTCCATATGCATATTTTCAACTTTCACTTTATTTTTGAATAGTCTAACTAGCCTAAGGTTATCTCAGTTTATGGGCAAAGCATAGGAGACTATGAGCAAAGAAGTTGTCAATCATTGGTTCACACTGTGAACCACAGTACATACTTATTTTTACTGAAGAAAGAAGGCTTATGAAGGTGCATTACTAGAGTCGAATAGACTAGATGCGAGTAGAAATAATATTTTCATCATTAAAAATTCAAAATTGAGTCAAAGTGATGTCTACTTAGACTACATCATATGTCCCCATAGACCCCATGTTGTAAAATCACAAAAAGTGAAACATCTTTTCTTGTGTTGGGCAGATAGTATTTTCCTATACGCCTTGGTCACATTTGCTCCGATTTTCAGTATGGCGCCCGGCCGATTGAGTATTTTTTTTCAAAATTGAATACAATATTGAGCAAAACACTGAATCGGCCGGGGGCCGGCCGATGGATCAGAGCAAATGTGACCAAGGCATTACTTGACACATTTTTATTTGTATATCTATAAGATATACAAGGGTAATATGATTTACACTGGTGATCTGCTCGATTACCCTGGTCACCAAAACGAACCATAACATATGATACTGATACACATTTGTGATAAAAATGTCTTGGGAATTCTACCTACAACTTGTGAAATAAGGAAAAAAGAAAAATCGTACCTTTGATGTTCCAACATTTTGTTACCGAAACGGTTCCAGAGTAATTGAGTGGATCACCAGTGGATTTAGTAAACCACTAAAACTGATGAATATTCAAGTTTAAGGTGCTATGGAAGTTAACAGGAAATGACAAAACAGGAAGTGACAATTTTTTTGCATTTTTAGATATTTTTTGAATAAAGATAACAGAGTTCTGGTTTGACCTCCAGTCAATTTAACTATTTCCACATATCATTTACATGACCAGGATCACAATGTGCATGGTCAGAATAACCCTAAACATGATGAAATAACCTTTTTAGCCCTTTGAAAGTGTGTCTGAAAAAAAGCTAAAAGTAGGAGCGTAGGGAAGGTCACTGAACAGAATCTTTTGAATTTTTCAGAAAATGTGCCCAATATATTGCTCTAAATGATACAATCTTTGAAAATCTGATATCATTCATAGAAAAAGAAAAAAAAATGAAAAAACTGATTTGAAAAGCGATCTATTTTCCTTTTTATGACCGCCATTTTTGTTTAAGACAATTTTCTAAAATTTCAAAGATTGTACTAGTTAAAGCATTATATTGGGCAAATTTTCTGAAAAATTCAAAAGATTCTGTTCAGTGACTATCCCTACGCTCCTACTTTTAGCATTTTTTTAGTCACACTTTCAAAGGGCTAAAAAGGTTATTTCATCATGTTTAGGGTCATTCTGACCATGCACATTGTGATCCTGGTCATGTAAATGATATGTGAAAATAGTTAAATTGACTGGAGGTCAAACCAGAACTCTGTTATCTTTATTCAAAAAATATCTAAAAATGCAAAAAAAATTGTCACTTCCTGTTTTGTCATTTCCTGTTAACTTCCATAGCACCTTAAGGGAACTTTGTAATACCCTGCCATGTTATTTCCCCCAAATCAGCCACCTAGTGGCGAAACTGGTAACTACTTACTCGCATCTGAGTAATTGAATGTATAGATGAAGATGTAATACATGTAGGTATGAAATATGAAGGGACAACTGAGATAGGTTTTCTCAACTTGCAGCTACAAAAATGCGGTTTTCTTCATTGTAAGCCCAACGTAGAGTTCTAACGATAGCCATTACAAAAGAAATGTTAGATAACTGTTAATTGTCATAAATAACGTAATAAAATTAACTGATCAATCAGATGGGCCCCCACGTAATTAGTAACATCATACATAATATATAGTTTTGGTTTATTGGTTCCTTGGTAATCACTACTTCACAGCAACCATTTGATTGTTGTGTAAACAAATAACAAAACATCTTGCCATTATGACGTCATGATTTAATGGACCAAAACAGGCCACATGGGGACCAGTAAGAGATCATGTGGGGGCCAATAATGTCACAACCTAATCGAATATTGCTTATTAAGCAGCTATAACGATCCTTGGAGTGAACAATACCATTTCATATCTGCTTTAAAGTCTTCTTTTTAATGAGACTAGCTATCTACCTGTTTGAGTGAGTCACCAAGGGTCAGCACACACACCCCCAAATGGCAGCAGCCCCCATGATAAATTGCTGTATATTGATCATTTTACCTTGACTGATTCTTGAATTAAGGTGAACCTAGAGACATAAACATTGACTTTGACCTCATGTCACACCCTATGCTTAGTGAGCGGAGCTAATTTCAAGGGTGATGGTAAAGACGAGGCATGGCGCCCAAACCTGGTCTGTAACTAGGTGCACTGATGCTTTCTTCGCAAATTACATCGCCATTGCTTGTCATCGAAATTCTGATCGCCGAATAGACACTCTCGTAAACATTCATTTTGTATTGGATGTACATAACTAGAGACCGCCTTATTTCGCATATATGAAAAAATAAAACATATCTAGGTACATATATCTTTATATGTGACATCGATCAGGAATTATTGACATATTGACAATATTAGGTTGTAATTTCTTGCGGTAAATTCAAATTGTATCTTTAAACGACTGTTTCATCTTAAATATTCGTTTTATTGGATGTAAAACAAACGGTATGCATAGTTTAACATCTTTCACTTCTAAAACAGCATAAAATATCACAATATCATCACCTTATGCTGCAATAATACGACTTAAAAGATTATGGTACTAATATTCTTTGGTTTTTGGGCGCCACGCCTCGTCTTACCATCACCCTTTAAATTAGCTCCGCTCACTAAGCATATGGTGTGTCACCTAATCATGAGTCGCCAATGGTCACAGTATCCTTCAAGTGCATTAAAAGTGACATCGGAATCTGGTATTGCCATATGCCATTGTCAAATGTCAAGATGATTCAGTGTGAACTTTGGCCCTGAAAAAGAATGATATTCAGCATGTGGCTACTTACCGGTATTTAATAGGTGTTTTGGTGCCCTAGGTTACATTGTGAAAATCTGCTAAACACGACCGTGAATACTTAAGAATATGAAAGAAAATGCATTCTACCATAATGAAATCTCCATATAAAATTATTACCCAATTTTTATGTTCCAACCACATATTGTGGGACCATATTTTTCAGCACTATAAGTAATGGTAACTTGTGTTTTCAGCTATGAGTAATGGTGTGAATGGTCTAGGGGAACGTGGAGGTTACGGACAAGTTTGCTGCTTACTAGACAATCACATACGTTGCAGGAGAACTGCAGGGAATGCAAGCTACTCTAAACGCATACAAAAAACAGTACAACAAAGGAAGTTGAAATTGAACATTGACCATTCAGTAAGTTGAAACTAGTATGATGGCTTCTTATGTAATCTCTCTTCCCAAATATAAAGTAAATAGATTTGGAGAAAAACATAACATTACTAGTATGTTGTGGAAGATATACTTTCCTATGCCATATCTATACACAACACAATGTGTGTCCACATAGTTTTAAACACTGGACAAATTTTTATCAAAGACCCGATGCAAAGTTTGAAAATATGCTTTTATTTGTGACTTCTCCAAAAAGGATTGGTAAATTGATTGGTAAATATGGTGAACTGAATTCAACATTGTTTTTCTTTTGAAACAATTATTGAAACTTTCAGTTTGTCTCTCTTGTCTTTATTGTTCAAAATGAAAGATGATTTCTGTTTCAGGCCAGGCATATATACATCTGTGACTACCACAAGAATATGATTCAGAACGTTCGTCAAAAGCGTAAGCGTCGTGACAGCGATGATGATAGCGCATCACATGACCAGTATTATGATACCCCAGAGGTTTGTACATTCTATTGTACAGTCAGTGGTAATCTACTCAAGTGTCGCCTAGTATGTGATCAGGCGAACTGTAAGTGTTGCAAATAATTATGTACAAAGATGAGCCTTAGATGCGTAGCATGCTAACACAATAGACACGTGTGGCCTCATCTCAGGTCATCTCAGCGAGACGTTTGCACAAGGAAGACAGCGACACTTGTACGTCGTTTTCACAGATGTTACCCATTTTTTATGTCCCCACCACATAGTGTGGGGCCATATTGTCGGCCTAGGCGCGTCCGTCCGTCCGTCCGTCGTACGTCCGGCAGTTTTCTCCAAAACCGCTACAGATATCACCTTCAAATTTTCAGGGATAACTTATGAGTGCATACATATGTGGATGACAAAATTTTAACTCGATACCTACTTCCTGTCGGCCATTTTGAAGTCAAATGCTAAAATCCTTGTCTGCAAAATTTAAGAAAAAAGGCTTCACAGTTGCTTTTAAAACTTTAACATCTTGTTCAGCTCACTTCATTCTAGATCTGATTAGGTTTTGGACCTGTTAGCTCAGTCATGGCAGCCATTTTTAATGTCTTAAGAAAAGTTAGCGTGCGATAATACTTTGTATCATATTGAATGGTGTTTTGGATTTTTCATACTTTAACCATTTAGTAGCTTTATAAATAATTTCAGGTGTACTTTGTTGTAAAAGCCTTTGTTATTGTTAATGGTGGTTATATGTGATAATTTTGTAAAAAGAAATCAGCAAAAACTCGTAATCACTTTTTTATTGTCGGCCATTTTGGATTTTTCCGTCCTAAAATCTTGTTTGTATAGTCTTGTCTACGCGTTTTCAGGTGAACCGTTTGGTAGATCAATTTCAAATTTTCATGGATGATTCTTAGTATGAAAATCTAGATCTGATTAGTTTTTTGGCATTCTGGGTAAATGTCAAGGCGGCCATTTTGGATTTTCCGTCCTAAAACCTTGTCGGTAAAGTCTTGTCTATGCATTTCCAGGTGAAGCGTTTGGTAGATCAATTTCATATTTTCAGGGATGATTCTTAGTATGAAAATCTAGATCTAATTAGTTTTTTTGCATTCTGGGTAAATGTCAAGGCACCCATTTTGGATTTTCTGTTCTAAAATCTTGTCAGTAAAGTCTTGTCTACACATTTTCAGGTGAACCGTTTGGTAGATCAATTTCAAATTTTCAGGGATGATTCTTAGTATGAAAATCTAGAACTGATCAGTTTTTTGACATTCTGGGTAAATGTCAAGGCGGCCATTTTGGATTTTCCACCGTAAAATCATGTCTGTAAAGTCTTGTTTATGTGTTTTCTGGTTAACTGTTTGACGGAGTGGTTCTTAGTATGAAAATCTAGAACTAACTAATTTACAATTTAATTGTGGTATTTTATTTTTCAGATTGATTTTTTCCAAATGCCTGTCAACACGCTACGAAGGTACAAGCGTCACTATAAGCTTCAGACTAGGCCAGGACTGAATAAGGCACAGTTAGCAGAGGTAAGAAATAAAAACTAGATAGTTATTTTTGATTTATGCTACAGTACAGACTTTCTCCTTTATACAATTGTTGATTACCGTATAAGTGGTAATTTTGCCTAATCATTTAATTTGCCTATTTCCTAATTTTTGCCAGGTTCCATATTGTCTTTATAATGTTATTCAATGGGACGTTTCTTGTCATTAGGAAAATTAAAATTAGGAAAATGATGAAATTTGACCATTCGGAAAATTAACCACATGAATTAAATACCACTTATACAGTATTTTCTGTGGACATATCCATGAGCTCACATTCTCATATAGTAGTGACCTTTTGAAGTCACTTGTTCATCAGTCATTCATTCAGTCTCCATACCAGTGTACATGTGCATTCATCTGTCAATAATAGTGGCATGTTTTAAAATCTCTGTCGATACTATTCCAGTTATTATTTGTTTATAATGTAATGAAAAAAAGCCCAAATATGACCCTCGATTCAAAATCTCATCTATTTTCAAAGTAGCTGCTATTTTTATTTCAGAAATATCATGTTTTCAGCTCTTTTTGATCCTAAAAGTATTCCATCAATTTGCTTGAAATTACATGTACTAGTGTACAGATCTTTTATTTTATAGTTAAACAACAATTATTATAATCTTTTGTAAAATATGTCTCAAAGATTCATAAAAGTACCGTGCGTAATGGGCTCACATGGTGTTGTGGTATAAGTAGAAAGGTGAAAGTGAAATATTTGACATTTTTAATAGATATAGTAGAATATGACTTAACTAAGTAAAATGAGTAGGACACCAAGTCTTTATATTAGGATATTATTGAGAAAAAAATGACCACCACAATTCTTAAGATGGCATTCTTATGATCAAAAGTAATTGCATTGGCATGCTTGAAAATCAGGCAGGCAGATCAGTGTCTTGAAGTTATGCAAAAAATTGTGAAATTTGCTTGAAAAAGATTTGCTTAAAAAGGTACCTTAGTCTATAGATTCAAAATTCAATATGTTAAACAATTTTACTTGAATTTCACTTTTTTGGCCATTTGTCCAAACCTATTGCATTGTTTTGCTTGATATGTAAGTTAAGTTCTATAGGTAACCAATATATATAAGAAGTTTTTGAAAAATATCTTCTAAACAAAATGGCAACCACTTTAGTTGTCGAAATATGACATTTTGTCCAAAAAGCAAAAAGCTTGAAATTTTTATTGAAAACATATATCACCATTTTTCACTTATCTTTAGACATCTTCTTTTAATTCGATTTTTGTATGTTTATTTTCAGACTGTTGCGAGACACTTTAAGACGATTCATGTAAATGAAAAGGAGGCTTTAACCTTCTTCATATATATGGCAAAGAACTATAAAAGTCGATTTGATCAGAAACACATGGAAAACTCCAACAGCTAGTCCAAAATGAATAAAAGACAAGGACTGAATATTCCCCCATCTTTAATTGGATGTATATGCCACATCATTACAGACAATATATGGGATGTGATCACATAGCATATTGGATCATTGTTCATTTCTGACAGAACATTGTGCCAATCTGTAATAGAAGATAATCTACATGAACGTTTATGCTTTATACTTTTTAACACATTTTTGTGGAATCTACTTGTGTTTTCCCAAAGAAAACTAAATAATTTTTGGCCCTTACAGATTCATTTCTGTTCAAAATCTTTGTTTTGAAAAGTAGATCTTTGAACCAGGCCCTTTTCCTTCTCTAAAATTTCAAAGAAACATGATTTAAAGAAAGCCTGTAAAATTCTTAAATAAAAAGGTAAGAAAAAAGTTTTGATCGGGGAAATGAATGGAGTAAAAATTGGTGATGAGGTTCAATGCCTTCAGTTAGGTTTTATTTCTCATTTGAAAACGTGGCTCCAAAGTGGTCATAGTTGAATTAATTCCTCACTTCACTGAACTAGCAATCATATTGCCCCTTAAGCCTTTTAGCTGCAAACTCCAATAGTGTGTTTTAACTCTTGCATTTGTAAGGGCTTACATTGGTACTTGATTTAGTAACACATTTTGTATTTCTATTAAAATAGTAAAATAAAAACTTTGGATGGAAATCATGAAATGGAATGATGTTGATACCAGATTTTAATCATACCACCACATTTAAGATGTCACCCTCATTTTAATGTGTGTATGTAACATTTTTATTCTCTGTTATCATTCAAAATTTATTTCAACTCTTAGATCATCGATACTGTAGACACATTTTGTATTGTCATTATTATTTTTTCAATATTTGTATTTAAGCATTTAGTCAGCAGATGAATATTACTTCAATAAGAAAGTCACCTTATGAGTTTAGAAAATGTGTACCCAGGGACTGGGCAGGGTCTTGAAACTGGTGAACGTTGTCGGGAGAGGATACATGTTTTCCAACGAGATGCATAGTCAATAGATCGGCATGTGAATGTCCCCTCTCTAACACATTTTGATTGACAGTCCCCAATTGTCCCCACATTATTTATCACTTTGTCATTGTGTCCCCGTATGCATGCCCCAACTATTGTTTGCCAAGTATATGTTCCTGCAAAAGAATAAAAAACAATACTGTCATCAGTTTGAAGGACTTGTGGTGGCACAGAAGGTCTGCAGAGATGTTTCACTATTCTTATCTGCATATTTCCAGACACATTGCTTTATTGGCATTGATTTACAAATTATCAAGGATGTTCCTTGGTGTTACAATCTAGAACTGATTAGGTTTTGGGCATATGGTGGGTAACTTTTTTAATCAGCAAATTTTCAAACAGAAATTTTTCATTTCACAATTTTTAAAAGTATAGTTAAAGGGGCTCAACCTGGCTCATCTTGAAGTTTCTTACTAAAGACTCCTCAAATGTATAATTGAATAGTAGGAAGCTGTATCTCACACCATCGAAGTGAAGTTTAATAGTCCATCAATAGTGTACAGCAAAGTGGTCAGGATTCAATTTCTTGAGTATTTAAGTCTTGATTTTTATCAAAGCAATATAGTTTGTTAATCTATTTACCTCCATTATTCCCTCCACCATTTGGACTGTTGGAGGAACACACTCCACAAGATTTCTTACAATTGGTTAACATGTATCGAGGTCTCTTGCTGCATTCTCCCGTCCTTTGCCAGTATGCACAGTGTTGGTTGTTGTCAATACATGTTTCACCTCAAAAGAAAATACTGTAAATGTTGGTCATTCAACTTCCCTGAATTATATATATCTTGAAAACTGATTATGCAAATAGCCTAGTACTTTGTAACTCCAAGTATCAATAGAGAGGACATTACTGTACTTATTTTCAGTTTTAGTATGACTGAGCAATATTTACAATAAATTGCTAAATTCAACTTCTTAATTGTTCTTCATATTATTGTTGTCAATATAATAAAATATACCCTGAAGCCCAGAGGACAGTTATGTTATTACTACCCTGTAATTAGGATTGAAAATGTTTGAATTGATGCCCACAAGATCTTAATGGCCTCAAAAATAGCTGAAAAGCGAAGTTTTGATATGAAACAGATGCCAGCTACTTTTGATTACAATTGGGCAGTTCACTTTTGAATACAATTGGCCAGCTCACTTTTGATCTACTGGTTCTGATTGACTAAGGCTAGATTTAATGGATCAACTCTTATATTATTCAAATGGGGTAGATGAAGCTCTCTTTTAAAGAAGTGAAACTGTTGAAAATGGTACCCAATGTATGTGCGAGTGCTTGATTTGAAGATAATCTATAACTGTCCCTAAGTGAGATTACATGATAATATTGTAGCCGAGACAACACAAGTCCCAAGTCTGTATATTTACTCATAATTTCTTCATTTTTAAGAGTTAAGTAACCACATTTTGCATACATAGACTATTCCCAGGAGATATCCTAACATAAAAATTTATTGAATCTAGTTATAGTTTTTCAGTTAAAAATAGGGAAACATTTGATTTTGATTGGTCTATAACCAAAATTTGCCATTTTGTGCAACAAATGCAACATTTTGACGTTATTGATAAAAGTTTACTTTTGGTGTAATAACTTCAAAATGACCAAATATTTTCTTATTCAGCACAAGTGTAACTGTTTTAGGTAATTCAGAAATTTCCAAGAAAAACGGTATGCAGAAACATGATATTTTAAATAAAACAGGGCCAAAAACAACCCCTGAAAATGCCTGCATTATTTGAGATTTTGGGGTGTTTCAATGGCCTGAAAAGTTGATGGGGTATGGGGAGTAACATACCTTTTGGGCTTATTCCAGTTATCATTTTAATCAAATGAATGATGGCATGTTTGATATCATCTTTAACAGTTTAAGCTTCTAACACATGCTTCAATTTGGTACCCATATTATGACGTCAGATGATTATTATGACTTCACAGTTGTACCAAACGACCTTAAATGGAAAAGGAAGCACCAAAATGCACCAAAATAATGGTGCGACTCCAACATTCTTTTGACAATTCACTACTTGCCACTATCAATGAATGCAAATCTCATTGCGGTATACTTCCAATGTATGATCTGATGACTGGCAAAAAATAACTAGGATGATAGTTATTGTCAATAAAATTAGAGACACCATATTGCTATTAATATATATTATATTATCAATTACGTCAAAATGTTGCATTTGTTGCACAAAATGGAATATTTTGATAAAAGATCAATCAAAATCAAATATTTCCCTATATTTAACAAATCAATTATAATCAAAACCAATAAAATTCTATGTTAGGATTTCTCCAAGGAATATGTATGCAAAATGTGGTTACTTAACTCTTAAGAGTGAAGAAATGAGAGTAAATATACAGACTTGGGACTTGTGTTGTCTCGCTACTATATGATCCTATGATACATCCACATGGAATGGGCATTTTTAAAAGGACCAGGTATGGAATTTCACATGATTTTAGACAGTCATATATTTGACCACAAGTATTTTCTCACCATATCTCATCAAAATAATATGTTTTCCTCAAATTGAGGTCCCCAGGATAAATTAATCAATTTGACTGTCTGAAAAACCATGGATCATTCAAAATATTGGGAATTATTTTCTAAAATGAACATTTTCTGATTTGAAAGACACAAAATTTTAGCTGAAAACAATGGACTGCATGAGCTATCCCTATTGGAAAATAACGAGGGAAATGTTGTCTTCAGATTTATTTTATTTCAATGCCATTCCCCTTTCAGAAGTTACTGAGGTAGTGCAGGAGAAATTTTTATGTGGTTAAAATGAGAGACATTATCATTTTTTGGAAAATCTGATGAGGTAGCTAGGGTCCTAATCCAAGGTCAGAGAGTCAAATTGATGATTTTATCCTAGAGTCCTCAATTAAAGGAAAAGGTATCGTGAATAAGACATGTTGAATTTATGGTGAGAAAATACTCATTGCCATAGCATATGTGGTCTTGAGTTTATAACTTTTTACCTCCATTGCAGACGCCACATGATTTCTTGCAGAATTTCAGCATGTAGTTTGCACTCTTAGTGCATTCCCCAGTTCTCTGCCAGTATGCACAATGGATGTTTCTGTCCACACATGTATTGCCTACAGGAAGTAGAGTTGTTTTTATTTATTATTTAATTATGTACGCTTAATAACAATATTGCCCTATTTGTTAACTCATTTGGATGGGATGCATTTGACCATAGGTTCATGACATTTGGTATGATACTATTGGTATTCAGATTCTAGTGACATCAACTTACCTCCTCCCCCTATTGTTGGGCAGCTTTGTGTGTTACAGTTTCTGCTTTCTCTTGTATCACCAGAACATCTAGCATTGCTACAGGTCCTAGATCTTGACTGGACACCTGTGCCACATGACTTTGAGCAGCTACCCCACCTTGTCCATGGGCCAAGAACACCTGGAAAATGAATTGGATCTTGACTTTTTTGACTTGCATTATTGGCTGAAACACAGTATACCTTTAAGCTATGGATCTATTTAAATGTATGACAAATGTAATTATCACCCTAGTCAATTTGTAGCTTCTCCCATTAAACAGGCAATGCGCCTAGTTTTGAAGGAAAAAGGACAAAATATTATTTGAGACATGTTACTCACACACTATCAAATATGATAAAAACTTTAATTTGGGTCAATACTGAAGTGAAAAAAATTACTTGCATAGAAAACAACATTTGAAGTTCAGAGATCAAAAGAAGTGAATTACCACTTTTCACAAAGTGTAGGTTTTAAATAACTCTAAAAGATGGCGTATGGTTGAAAATTGTATCAAAAATGAATGGATAATTAATGCAACATCTTTCAATGGCATTGCTAAAAACTTGAATTATATGAATTGATAGATCAAAATTATTTTTTCATGATCTTGTGTCAACTCTGATGTGATCTGTTTGAGCTGTTTTTGGTGCCAAAATCAAGAATCAGGTACTTATTATTCAATTGGAATTACTATGAAGATCAAAAGTGAGACTTCAGTTACGCATTTTGTTGAATGAATGCAAAATGTCTGCATTGTTTATAGTGCACTTGATCAGCCTGAAACTCACCTGTACCCCCACCTCCTCCAATGGGACGACCGTATATGCTTCGAATGCCTTGGATATCATCTGTATACTCACCTGTACCCCCACCTCCTCCAATGGGACGACCGTATATGCTTTGAATGCCTTGGATATCATCTGTGTACTCACCTGTACCCCCACCTCCTCCAATCGGACGCCTGTATATGCTTCGAATGCCTTGGATATCATCTGTGTACTCACCTGTACCCCCACCTCCTCCGATGGGATGACCGTATATGCTTTGAATGCCTTGGATATCATCTGTGTACTCACCTGTACCCCCACCTCCTTCAATGGGACGACTGAATATGCTTCGAATGCCTTGGATTTCATCTGTGTACTCACCCATACCCCCACCTCCTCCAATGGGACGACTGAATATGCTTCGAATGCCTTGGATATCATCTGTGTACTCACCTGTACCCCCACCTCCTCCAATCGGACACCTGTATATGCTTCGAATGCCTTGGATATCATCTGTGTACTCACCTGTACCCCCACCTCCTCCAATGGGACGGCCGTATATACTTCGAATGCCTTGGATATCATCTGTGTACTCACCTGTACCCCCACCTCCCCCAAAGGGATGACCGTATATGCTTCGAATGCCTAATGCCTTGGATATCATCTGTGTACTCACCTATACCCCCACCTCCTCCAATGGGACGACTGTATATGCTTCGAATGCCTTAGATATCATCTGTGTACTCACCTGTACCCCCACCTCCTCCAATGGGACAGCCGTATATGCTTCGAATGCCTTGGATATCATCTGTGTACTCACCTATACCCCCACCTCCTCCAATGGGATGACTGTATATGCTTCGAATGCCTTGGATATCATCTGTGTACTCACCTGTACCCCCACCTCCCCCAAAGGGATGACCGTATATGCTTCGAATGCCTAATGCCTTGGATATCATCTGTGTACTCACCTATACCCCCGCCTCCTCCAATGGGACGACTGTATATGCTTCGAATGCCTTGGATATCATCTGTGTACTCACCTATACCCCCACCTCCTCCAATGGGACGACCGTATATGCTTCGAATGCCTTGGATATCATTTGTGTACTCACCTGTACCCCAACCTCCTCCAATGGGACGACTGTATATGCTTCGAATGCCTTGGATATCATCTGTGTACTCACCTGTACCCCCACCTCCTCCAATGGGACGACTGTATATGCTTCGAATGCCTTGGATATCATCTGTGTACTCACCTGTACCCCCACCTCCTCCAATGGGACGACCGTATATACTTTGAATGCCTTGGATGTCATCTGTGTGTAACTGCAAGTTGGGTTGGTATCCTCTGTAATAAGCATACATCACAGCATTCCTGACTTGGCTATGTAATAGTCCTATGGCATGTCCAAATTCATGGACTGCAACCCAGTACAGATTTGTCCCTGCAAGTAGACATTGGTATAATATCAAAGTAGGTATGGTTTAAGTTGAGGGAGACGAACTTCTCATTTAGGAGACTAGAATATACATGTACTAATACATCGATTTTTCTTTATACCATTATATTCCCTGATTATACCAAATAAAAATAGACAGGACTACTTTGTTGTTGGTCAATAGTTTATTGTACCTAACAAAACGATAAACTACAATAGAAGTTACATATTGAAAGATGTTACGTAAAAATACAATAGAAATTCCATACCATTACAAATCATAAAAAGTAGTTACATAATGGGATGATTTCATTTATCCCATGATTCTACTACTTCCCAGTGAATAACACCCGGGAATATTTTTGATATTGAAAAAAAATCGTATTGTCCCGCCCAATTCCCTTCACGAAAATCGTATTTACCTCCCAATCCCGCTTAAGAAAATGGTATTCACCTCCTGGGAATTTTTGCCAAATAAACCCGAATTATAATCTCTTCATCATGCTCTGACATAGACAGTCAACGTCCTAGAAATCTGAGCAATATGCGAATGCCCTGTGATGGACATGCATTCGTATTGTTCAATTTTTAAATTTCAAAATTTCATTTGTAGTTAAGTCATGTTTTGTAGACTAAATATACAGGGTGTTCCAAAAGTAACAGGACTGGTGCTGGCATTTTGTCAATTTTGCACTGAGTGTCTTCATATTTTCACAAATTATACTTTGCAGTATTGCAACTAAAATTATAAAGTTTCAGAAAAAATGATGAAATGCGGTTAGAGTTATGGTTACTATAGTAACATGATATCCTAATACCCGGGGCAACTTTTTTCTTGAAAATGTGATATCTAACATTTTTGTATTACTGAAGAAAGTATCTAATTCACCTAATATAATACAACATTTCTTGTTTATTTTATTAATTACTTTGTTGTAAAGATGTTGCTATACAACTCAGATTCAAGTATAATTTCATAATGATAGTAATATTTATTCAATTTCTTGGAATATCACTATGTATAACAGTTCGAACAATCCACGGTTGAGTTTTTGAAAATACCTAATTTGAAGCCAATCATCCACCTTGATAGCGCGCCTGCCCGCAGGCCACTATTAAATACCTTGCAGCTATAGAGGAGCTAGGTCTTGAGGTCTAGAGCCATGCACCATACTCTTCTGATCATGCATATCTAATTTTGACTTATATTGAGAACGGAATGCTAATCAGTGCTGTAAGACCGTTAAAGATGAGAATGACCTTCTCCAAATTGTCCAATCGACCCTGCGTGACATGTCCTCAAATGGGTTCACTCATGTGTTTGGGTCATGGATACAGAGTACTACTCTTGTACTGACCAAAGAGGAGCCTATTTTTCAAAGTAGAGGATACATAGGAATATCAAATGATGTAAAACAAATGTAATTTCCACCAGTTGTTGCATTTCAATTTTGATATGGCATGTACAAAATAATATGGGTTGTACAAAATGCTTAATGTCTCTGTAACTATTTGCGTGGAATGTTGCCCCGGGTATTGCGATGTCATGTTACTATAGCAACCATAACTCTACCAGAGTTTCATATATTTTGTTGAAACTTTGCGGTCTTAGTAACGACATATGGAAGTACATTATGTTAAATTTTGAAGACGATTGGTGCATATTTAACAAAATGCCAGCACCAGTCCTGTTACTTTTGGAACACCCTGTATAGTCTGGTTTTGTTCCATACAAAAATCAGATATGGATTGTGAACTAATGATTTTAGGTCACGCATATCATCCTTGTGGCAATATGATATTTCCCTCTGGGCCCTCGGGAAATATCATATTGTCCCTCGGAATAAAACCCATATTGAATCCCTCCTTGTAAATAACCTCTATGAATACCATGAAATGGTATTGCCATCTAAGTACTGTTTACTCACCATAAAAGATTGTAATATAGAGTGTGAGAGGCTAATTGCATAACTATGTACAAAATTACTTATATATTACAAAAGCAACAATTAGAGCTAAAATAATATACTATTCTAGTACCTTGCCGACTTCTCTCAGTCCATGTTTCACTCTCATCAAAATGTATATATCCACCCCGGGGTAATGCAGCATGGGCCAAAACTTTTCCTCGTCCATCAAACGGTGATCCATGTCCGTGACTGTAGGATGCAAATCTGATGTTTAGGGTTGCATCATTTGTGTAGACACGTTGGAAACGTAGATTTGTAACATCTGACCAAGCCTGAAAGTGTTTCAATATCTGACTAAAACAGTAAACACAACCAGACAAAAGTGAGGATATGAAAAGCAAATTCACATAGACTGTCCATACCTTGAAAAAATGCACATAAACTGTTCATACTTTGAAAAGCAAATTCACATAGACTGTTCATACCTTGAATGCTTTGGCAATTACTGAGTCAACTTGGGGTCGAGGTAGATCCGGGGTGTGATTATGTATCTTGTATGTGAGCCTACCTCGTGGCCAGCTACCTGGAAAATATAAACAGTATCAAATGTTTTACTCCGATCCCTTGTTTGTTTCCATCACTGATTTCCGATCGCTCCTGTCTCCAAAATATCAACTTAAAGCCTGTTATTATATGGAAGCATCTCTGATACATACTAGTAACATATATCGGGGTCCGCGCATTATACCGAAACCCATTATACCGACGTGCATTACACCGAAACCCATTATACCGACGTGCATTACACCGAAACCCATTATACCGACGTGCATTACACCGAAACCCATTATACCGACGTGCATTACACCGAAACCCATTATACCGACGCGCATTGTACTGAAAGGCGTTATACCGAATGCCATAATACCGTATTGTACCGAAAAGTTTTCCTGCGTGTAACTATCTGCTTGTAACCTTTAAGAGGCAATGCAAACGCAAAGTTAGCGAACACATATTTAAAGTTTATAAAATTTCAAGTTTAATACGTGATATTCATTAATCAGAATTGACGAAAATCCTTACAAACGACAGAACATCTATTTTTTAGACTCAGAACAATCTGTCATCGTTTCGAGTTTCTTGTCTTAATTTACGGATCCCTTTTCGAGGTCTCAGAGATGCGAACTGACAACATTACGTACATTTTATGATATGAAATAGCTAGCCACATTTAAACGTATACAACGCTCAACGCACCATTGGAAAGCTTATCTCGTCCTCTTTAATCTCCTTTCTAACAGAAGTAAATCAATCGTTACGCATTAAACAAAACATTTTTTGCTGACAACACTATATATGATTTGAAATAGCTAGACACATATACAGCTCACCATGGGAAAGCTTATTGTTACGCATAGAACTTTATTAATAGATTATTCAATCACGAAGTATCTTCGCAGGTTACGTGCATGCTTTTGTATAGCTACGTACCCATACATTTCGCACACCATTGGAAAGCTTACATTGTATTCTTAAATCTATTTTGTTCCACTAAACTTTAATATAAATATCCTAGATGCAAGCAGAAATAATCTTGATTTACGTCATTAAAAATTCACAATTCAGTCAAACCGGTGTGACAGTTTCACATGTCCACGCTAAATTATGTCCGATGGACTTATTTTCCTAGGAAAATTAGTCCAGGGACTTGCATACCTAGGAAAATAAGTCCGTCGGACATAATTTAGCAGGAATCCAAGTCCGTCAGGAAAATACGTCCGTAGTCGTTTTTCATATATATCATAGCTTGGAATATACGTCCGACTAGGACAACGTATACTAGGACCTACGTTCCTAGAAATACAAGTCCTACGGACTTATTCTCCAAGGGGACTTATACTCCTGTTACACCGGTGTCTATTTGGAATCTACATATAAAATTACATCTAAAAACATCTATTACATCTATAAAATTACATTTAAAAACATTTTACATCACAAAATCATGATGTCGGTGTGTTCACTGCCATTAATGTTTTACATTCACATACTGCAAGAATACAAGTTACCTTGAGTTGCATATCTCTTGTGTCGTCTTTGTACATAATTGTCAGGTAAGCCACATCTAGGGGTGTTCATCATTCTCATTGTAGCAAAATCTATTTCACCTAGAGAATAAAAAGACATAAATATAGTCGATAGAGATGCAATTCTTCCAATGAACAAAATCTGTGTTTATATTGTTGCCATTATAGGCTATTGCCAAAAGATATATAAGGGTTATGTTGTACTGGGAGGTTTTGGATATGGGGTTTATCCTGAGGGAGATATGCATATCTACCTGAGGGACCGTAGGGACCGAAGGTAGATGTGCATATCTCACGAGGGATGAACCCAATATCCAAACCGACCGTACATAACTGCTTTATCCTATACCAAGTAGAGTTTCAGGTGCATATGGCCATTTCAATAGTACAAGGTGTAAAAACAATCAAATCATTCTTATGCAAAGTCATTTTATTGCATTTCCACTACTTACCGGAAGCGGGAAGATATGCAACGAAGCGGGAGATATGGCGGGAAGTATGGAGGTTCTGGATATACGTTATAACTAAACTTTTTTTTATCTGAACAGATCAAAGCAGTGTGAATAAACCATACCTGTTTGAGGTATATAAGCATATCTCTGAAATGATTTGATTGCTTCTTGGTAGTTTAGTATTGCCTCCGACATCATTCTAGAAGATGATCTACTCATTTGTGGGACATAGCCAAATTGCCTCAAATACTCCTAGAAATATTTTACAACAAGGTTAGAACATTCAAAGTTGATTAGGACTGTGGGTAGAACACCGTAATCTAAAAATAAAACTTTTATATTCCTGTATTGGTTTCAGTCATGCAATTCAAGAGTAAAAATACTGTCAACCATGCAGAGAAACTGATAAATAAAAGTGACACAATCTTTGAGTTCAATGCTGAAGCTGAAGTCATAATATGATTTTTGACTAGAAGTGTTAATCCTCATTTATAAGCTATCATTCTCTCAATTTCTTCCTGAATCTTATAAAGGAAAGGGTATACGCCGGTAATACATATATTTATCTTTGAATGGCCTTATTATATTTTGTTTAGAATATGTTTTTTTCTTGAGGAAACATTCTCAAAATTAGTATTGTGTCATATTCTAAACAGAAGTTATTTCAATAAATTATATCTGTAAGATCAGGTTGCAGACGTACACATTTTTAGCATTTTTCTCATCCTTTTTTCATTTTAAAGCAAAACTTGTGATGGGGTACATTTATATTAGTATCTAATTTGCATCTTTTAGTGAGAATTAGATGAGAAAAATGCTAGACTTTCATAAATGTATATATCAATTTCTACTGTACTTACTGTTGCTTCAGCCTGATTAGTGACAACATTTTCAACTTCACGTGCATCATTCTGTGTCAATGCTCCAGATATAACACAAAATGACATTAAAGTAATAAATACATTCTCCATGACTTTGAATAATAGTCAACGATGTATTTCATATGTCTATTTCAAATTATCTATTTTCTGCTTATTTTTCTTTTCGTTAAACTATGTTAGATAAACCGCTATATACGTGTAGTCACTATCTATTTATGTTAGATAGTCCGTTTGCTTGTCTATAGAAACAATGATCGTGTTACTAGTTTACTCTGATATATTTGAGACACCCTTCCTTTTCTCACAATGCAAGGTCAAGTTAAAGGGTCTTGTTTTTCATACACACATGACTTATAAATTAAAGATTCTACTACATGTATGAATATTTAAAGGATCAGCTCAGAGATTAATTAGAAATGAAAAATGTTGATATGATAACACATTTACTGCACGTGTCGTTTTCTGGATGTTAAGTACCATGTTTGATTAAATATAATTATTGGACATGCATAGTATAGTATTAAAGAAATTAGAGCAATCCATGTGTTTGAACATGTAATTATGTTCCACCTTCAATCATGTCAATCCCTCTCATAAATGAACTCACTAAATGGATGGGGTTCTCCAACTAGCAACACAGATTTGCTAGTGAATTCATACATTGTTTTACATTGACATAACTCTTTAACTGACATTGATACTGGAAGACAGAAATAAAATGACATGTGGGATAATCAGAAACTGGTGTCATTTTTTATGGCATGTGTAATACTTAAACTCAAGTTCCTACATTTCGTTGTTCCTGTGAGGTTTCGAATTCTTAGAAAACAACTTTATCACACACAAAACACTTCCAACACATTTCCTATGAAATAAACCGTGTGAAAAAATAATTTAGTCCCAACAACAATGCCCAAGGATACACCCTGTACCCCTGAAGGAATTCTCCAGCTCAGTAAGTGCACATGTGCATCAGAGGGTAATGTATGTGAAACTGGGCGATGTTCATGCTCCAAGGCATCTTTATCATGTACATTGTTCTGTGTTTGCAAGGGGAATAAATGCAATAACCAACATACAAAGACAGTAACTGAACAGGAATTGGAAGAAACTGATGAGGATTTATTGAGGGAAATCCTTGATGAAATCTTAGTAAAAGAAGATAATTCATAAATTCAAGATATATATAGCACCAAGAATTGACCCTTGTGGAACATCATTATTATCATGTAGGTTACTTTTTACTCATTTCAGATATTTTATATGTGAGAAAGAGATCATAATCAGATGTATTTAGTATTATTTATTGATAATTTTGTAGGAAACATTAATATCAATTTGATATTATCACAGAATGAGACATTTCATAAATTGTAAGGTTGGCGGCCATCTTGAATTTTTTTTATTTTGGTCAAGAAACATTTCTGGAACCTAACATATTGGTATACATCATATTAAAACTCTATTATAGAAAAAATAGCAAGATATGTTTATGTGTATGCTAGCTTTCTGTTCTAATGTGCTGGCTAAAATACATAAAACGTGTGAAAATTCAAAATGGCCGCCAAAAAAATTCCTCAAGGATGCCCGTTGGGCATCCGACAGTTTCTGAATATGGATATCATGTTTAAACAGAAAATGCAAAAAAAGTTCATATAATAAGCATTTCCACCTCTATTGGCTCTACATCCAGACTATATCCATTTATATAGAGTTAGTCGATATGAATTAAGTGTGTTATGAAACAATTTTCACCTGCATTCTCATTCAAGATCTTTCATCAATTCATTTTCCTCAGCCACCAGGGTTTGGAGAATTGATATAGTCTCATCATCATATTTACTAATTCGTACAATTTTATTTGTTTATAGCTTATGATTATAATCATAAGCTATAAATAAATAAATGTACGAATTTGTAAATATTCATATCAATACAACTTTATAAGCTAATACGCATATCACATACTTGATAAAGTTAAGAATTCTTAGTTTTTTACACGAATTTGTACATAATATGTATTGCGCACATTTAGCATCTATAAACCATTATTACTTTATATGTTTCGCATTAAGTATGTATTAAACAAACAAACAATTGATAAATGAATGAATGAATATGCTTTACACCCTAACATAGATGCCGTATAAGAACGTTTGCATTAGAAAGGAGTGGTATCGATATGGAGAACTGAATTCAACAATGTTTTTCTCTTAAACCAATCATTGAAAACATTCTGTAAAAAAACACGGTATTTTATGTAATGTTGACTGATTGACAACAATTTCATGCGAAAATTATTTAGAAATATTTTATATAACTGTTTTTGTTAACATTTTTTGTTTTTAGTGCGATTGTTTTTGCTCCTTTCTACCAATTCTTGAGAATAAAATAAAATGTCTTTCCGAACCTTGTTGGAACAAAATAGCATATACAACATGTTTTTAGACCTCTCAATATTATAATTATACAAGGAACTTTTGGTTGATTTTAAAAAAGTATTCAAAAAATTAAAACAAAATCCCCCCAAAATAGATAAAAATCAAGATAAACCTTTTATTTCATTAACAAGATATTTCATCAACCAAAATTTTAGAGGTCGCAACGGTACTGAAAACCAGTACCGGTAACCGTCACGCTAATAACCGTACCGTTACCGAAATACCGGTAAAAATATGTAAGATAAAATGCCAATGCGCTGCCACCCCCACTTTGTTCCTAACTCTCTTCGTAGCTTCTCAAGTCTATATGCATACATGGTGCAAGACCGATTTGAACCCATACTAATAAACTTCACGAAATAGTATGTAACTATATCTTACGAATCAAGATGTATTTTTAGTTTTAAATTAAATGTATTACACATTTCAAACCATTTCTCAACTGTATCAATAGCAAGCGACGTGCACTAACATGGGGGTGGGGTAGGTAAAATAGATTTTAACAAAATATCCTGATGTGGCGAGTTTGGCTGAAACATATCATGTTATTCCTGCGTCATCCGTGTCAAGTGAACGTCAGTTCAGTGCAGCTGCTGGCAACACCATCACTTCCAAACGGGCACGACTTCAACCTGAGGTTGTCAATGCCTTGTTGTTCGTAAATGACCATTACAAACATAATTCAGTTTCTGGATCTGACGTTGACACTACAACTACACCGGAACTGCCAAACATAATTACAGCCATATCTGAATCTGAGCATGAAGCTACTACTGTACACCCAAACTGCCAAACATGGACATCACACCTGAACTGCCAAACATGGACATTTAAATGTCTATGTAAATGTACGCACCGTGAAAGTGGATATTAAACGAAATAATTAAAAAACGACGGGTCTTTTATTTCCCCGGGGATTATCGTCGGTTAACCGGTTAATAATTTCAATACCGGTAAATGCTCAATTCCGTACCGAAACCGTATAACCGGAAGTACCGTCAGCCTCTACAAAATTTCCTTTGTACAATTACAATATTGAGAGACCTAAACATGTTGTGTTTATGTCGTTTTGTTACAATGAGGTTCGGAAAGATGTTTCATTTCACTCAGGAAACATGATACCAAGAACAAAACAATTTAGATGAAAGTATATAGTAGCCAGACAGAATTGTTCAATGGTCACTTTTTCCTTAATAACTTTTTTAATTGTCAGTATTATCAAAATCTTATTACATATTTGAAAACTAGAGTAAAAATCTATATAAAAAACTATTTAAGGAACATCTCTTAATTTATTGATATTATAGGCGTTCATAGTATGAGTGACACAAATATATAATTCACCGTTTTGTCTCATATTTGTTCAAAATGGCAGCATGTTTTGTGGTTTGAATGTTCAGTTAAAAGTTAATATTTATTTAAGAAATGTCATAGGCCTACGAAATCATGAAGACTGCTGCCTTGGTATGAGCATGGGCTTTCAACTAGAATTGAAAGCCCATTGGTTGAGGTAATTACTTTTATAACATTTTGTTTTAAATTGACTTGTATGTACAGTATACCAGTACTTAAAAAGATTTGTACATTGTATGAACAGTTTATTGGTAAGGTCGCAGGACTTAAAGTTTTTTGGCCATTCAATCGTTATTCGTAGTGGATTAGCAACCCTAGTTTGTTGAACCTATGCAACTATAGGGTCATACTGCCACAGTTTGTAATGTCTTTCCCAGTCACACGCCTCTTAACCCATACTTGGCATGCATGTGAATTGTTCTTCAGCTTTTCAATGGCCTCTGAGATGGCTGTTTGGAGCTCTTGAAAAGATTGTAAGGACCTATTCTCATCACACCCCGCACATTGGGGCGCCACTTTTTCACATCCTCTTGAACACAATCCCGAACATTTCAATAGAGTTGATTTCATATACCCTTGAAGGGAGTTGACTTCTTGTATTTGATGATTGGTCAGTTGCTGCATTACATCAGGATTGTAACGGTGGCACGTGGCAGCATGACCCTATAGTCCTTCGACAATCTTTAAATATTAACTTTCAACTGAGCGTTTAAATTCACAAAATATGCCGCCATTTTGAACAAATATGAGGCAAAATGATGAATTATGTATTTGCGTCAGTCATACTATGAACGTCTATAATATCAATTAATTAAGAGATGTTCCTTAAATATTTTTTTGTATGTCAGAATTTTACTCTAGTTTTGAAATATGTGATCAGACTTTGATAATACTGAAAATTAAAAAAAGTTAATAAAGAAAAAGTGACCATTGAACAATTCTGTCCGGGCTACTATGTATAAGAACGTAGTGAAAACTCACTTTCGTCCATCTCATTCGCAGTTCGTTCAGGTCGCACCAAGTCGGTGTGCAACGTCGTATAACGCGTCCCTTAGTCTAGAAGGTCATCATATAGTTTCTGAGACTAACCCCCCTATTACACCAAACTAGTTCTTACCCGTTCTTGCCAGTCCTACGAAAACATCGTAAAACGGGCTCAATCTGGCTGTGGTCGGGAAATATGTCTGAAATAATTAGCTTCTTCGTTCTTAAACAGTCTTCAATACGTCCATCTCGTTCGCAGTTCGTTCAGGTCGCACCACGTCGGTGTGCAACGTCGTAGAACGCGTCCCTTAGTCTAGAAGGTCAACATGACCTGATTACAGAACGGTATGGTCGCCATCGGATTTTGAATCGATTCAAAATTTTTAAAATCATATTCCCGTCTGAGAACGTTCATAAAGTTCCTAAATAGACCTTAGAAAGTTGCAGCTACGTTCATTCCGTTCGCACACAGTTTAAGACCAGTTTTGAAGAACGCAGTGGCAACTTGTT